CCTTAGAGTTCATTCCTCATTCCAGTCCCCCGCATGATGTCTGGAGATGCCACGTTTAATCGTCACCAGACACGCAGAGCTGCAGGTGCTCAGCGACTAAACCTTGGGTCCAACCCAGCGGAGACCTGAGAATCTGGAAGGCTGTGCAGCGCCATGTAACCTCCATGGCCGAGCAGACTTTGTTTAGGTCCCGGCTCCCGACCCAGCTCCCAGCGCTGCGCTCAACACAAGTTCGCGCTCAGTGCAGGCGGGAGCGTCGTTCGAGTCTGAGCGCGAACGCGGCAGGGAGCCCCCGCAGCGACGCAGGCGGGGCTCTGGCGAGACCGGGGCCGAGCGGGCCCGGGAGGAGGAGCGGTGCTGTGCGCCCTCGGGCAGCCGGGCTGCGCCGCCCCGTCCCTTCGCACGCGCTGCCCGACACGGCGCGGGCACGGAGCAGGTGCTCGGCCGGTGAGCGCCGGGGGTTCGCCGGGGCTCCGGGAGGGAGGCCGGCTCGCACGCGGCCGCCCGCTTCCCGGCAACCGACTGGTTCGCCGAGACCCAATCAGCACGCGGCTCCTGGCTTCCGGCCCCGCGCCACCCAATGGCCGTGCACGGGAGGGAGAAGGGCGTGAAGCCGGGTGGGGCCATTATCCTTGAGGGCGAAGGGTTCGTGGACCTGGTGCCACGCACTGGGCCCTCCGCAGGGACGTGATGCTCCTGACCCCGGACCACCTGGGCATGATCGAAGGGTCCCAGCGCTCCCCTTCTCCGCATTTTAGCGAAAAGGGGTACCATTCGGCATCGGTCCGGATGCGCCTGTGTTGTTGGGGAGGCTCTTCTCCGCTCGGGTTCAGGAGGCTGTACCCACCCCTGCAGAGGAAGCGCCTTGTCTAGGCTCCATCCTCGCACCCCGCCTGTTGTTGGCCTCTTCTCCTTAGGATTCGCAGGCCCCAAAGCCGCCTTCGTCTCCTGGAAATGGGAGAAGGAGGCGTGGAGCCTGGAGACCAAACGTCTGCAGGAGGGGGCGAGGCACCCAGGATCTGGGCTAGGTGAGGAGAGTGGGGCTGAGGCGGACTGCAGGCTCTCTTGGGAGCGAGCCAGGGCAGGCCCTTTCTTCCCGCAGCCACACCTACACCGCACCCTTCTCTTTAAGGACCCCAATTCCTAAGAATCCGATGAACCTTCTCTTCTAAAATTCTCTTTCCCAGACCTGGAGGCTTCCTTGCGTTCAACGGTAGCGGGTCCCTCTGGCCCCAACTAGAGGTTGGGACGAGGCAGCAGTTGGGGTTTGAGGTCTTTTGCCTTCTTTCCTCTAGGTACTTAGATTATTGCTTCCAATGGAACTTGCCTCAGTTATGGGAATGTTCTATCTGCGCTGTCGAACACAGAAGGCACTAGCCACATGGGGCCATTTAGCACTTGAAATGTGGCTAGTGTGCCCAAGGAAGTGAGTTTTTCCTTCTAATTAACTTAAGCCTAGAGAGTAGGCACGGTGCATTTCTGAGGCCGGAAGTGCACTCGGTTCGCTGGCCTGCCCCTGTTTCTCAGGGCATACCTGCCATGGGAAGCTGCCTAGAGCCCTCTGTAGAATTTAATGACTGCCACCTTTCATTTAGGATGAAAACCGGTGTTTTTGTTTGCTCCAAAGGCACTGAGGTGTGGGTTTTTGTTTTGTTTTGTTTTTGAGAAATGTTTCCACTGAAATGTCCATATGTAAGGTCTTGAACCAGGGAGACGTGCCAGCTTCCCTCTGAAAAAAATTCAGCCCTTCTTTATGAGAACGCCCTACAGTTCTGGAGGCCTGCGGTGAGAAGGGATGGGGTGCTCTTTCTGAAAAGCTCCAGCACCAGCTTATCCACCCGTGACAGAGGCCCTAGCGGTGCTGGGGCTGTTCGTGGTGCTTCTTCCACAGGCACCCTAGGCCATTCACAGGTGCACACCCACACCCAGGAAACTACCCCTGCCCAGAATGTGGCATCTGCTTCTCCTGCTCCTTCCTCCTGCTCAGCCACGGGCACATCCACTCTGATGGCACCGAGCGTGGGGAAAGCTCCCAGAGAATGTTTGCCCTGAAAGCCCGCCAGGGGATCCGTTGGGCAAACATGGAGAAGCCAAGGGGCACCTGGGCGGCTCACTCAGTTAAGTGTCTGACTCTTGATGTCAGCTCAGGTCATGATCTCAGGGTCCTTGGGATCAAGCCGCATGTTGTGCTCTCTGCTCAGCAGGGAGTCTGCTTCTCCCTCTCTCTGTGTGTTTTCTCTCTCTCTCTCTCATAAATAAATAAAATCTTAAAAAAAAAAAAAAAGAAAAGGTGAGATTCCTTCATTATTCATGGCATGATTTTCTCCCAGGACTAACGCTGCTTGCTGGAGTCTGAGTCTGGGTTCATGGTTCAATGACATTTGAGGCAAAGGTTGGGTTCCAGTTAGTCTATAAGGTGAAGTCCATGTGTGCTGTAATCGAAGGTTGCACTGCCAGTTACTTCCCTCTCACTGAGCATGAAACAAGGAGAAATTAATCTCAAAGCCTTGCACCCAGCTTAGAGCTGCCAGTGGAATGCAGAGGACATTCTAGGTTCAAATCTCACCTCTGCCTTTACTAACAGGGTTTGGGCAAGCTGCTCAACTGCCTGATAACTGTCCTCCTAAGGACTCTGAAAGGTGAGTTTCTTTTTTCTTTTTTTCTTTAAGTTTTTATTTATTTAAGTAATCTCTACACCCAACATGGGGCTCGAACTCACGACCCCGAGATCAAGAGTTGCACACTCCTCCGACTGAGCCAGCCCAGTGCCCCTGGAAGGTGAGTTTCTTTCTTTCTTTCTTTTTTTTTTTTTTTAAAGATTTTATTTATTTGAGAGAGAGAATGAGAGAGAGAGAGAGCATGAGAGGGGGAGGGTCAGAGGGAGAAGCAGACTCCCTGCCAAGCAGAGAGCCCGATGCGGGACTTGATCCCGGGACTCCAGGATCATGACCTGAGCCGAAGGCAGTCACTTAACCAACTGAGTCACCCAGGCGCCCTGGAAGGTGAGTTTCAATTGAGATCATCTATATCGATGTGCCTACAAGGTGGCACCTGGTACTTAGTTGGCCCTCAACACCATTTCCCTTTATCCAAAACAAGGTGTCTTTGGTCTTTATGTGGCCTCTTGGTGTGTAGACTCCCTCGATCTTCTCCATCCTTCTCTACAATGGGCAGTCTTCAAGAGGAGCCCTGCTTGTCCCTGTGCCCAATGTGGATCCAGGAATTTATACAGGAAAGGAGCAAGAACCTCTGCTCTCACATTAAGTCCTGGGCGCTTCTCTCTCCAAAATATTTCCCTGCAGTTAAGAGCCTCTGACTCTGCCTGATTCCTCGGTCCTGCCTTAGTAGCTCCCACCAGGATGGTGGCAAGCCAGGCCAAATGGGGCCTTCCCAGCCCAGGGCCAAAGGGCTAGGCTGCACCTCAGCCCAGCGTGCCCTCCCATTTTCTGCATGTGGGAAGAGGGCTCAGCACCTTTTCACCTCAGTAGTTAATCATCCTTCCGGGGCAATGTCAGCATCATTGACAGTCCATCATTAGCATTTAGGCAAAATGTCCACAGATTCCTTTCCAGCCTTCTGTTTAGTCACTTTCTTCCAAATGAAATGGTTTGCTGTCCATTGGCCTTTGTATTCCCTTAGCAGCCTAAGTTCTTCTTATTTCTCCAAACTGAACTCTGTATAGGCAGAAAGCATAGACACAAAGCTATCAGTTTGCCCTGCAGACAGACTACCAGAGTAATCTTCCGAAACATCGGAAGGTAATTCACTCCTGTAGACTGATTTGGAGGTCCCCAGTGTGCAGGATGAAGCCGTCCAATATCTGGTGCCAACCTAGCCTTTCGATCCTTCAGTTTTACCCTAACAGTATTTTGTCCTGCCTCAGAAAGTGTCCTCATTCCCTCCACACTCAGAACTTTCCTGAATTCCCGGCTTTGTACCAGAGATCTTTATGGCCATGGAATTCAGCTGTTTATTCAACAGATGTACATTGAGCACCACTGCCCTCCCTAAATCCTACCCATTCATAAACCAAACTCATTTCCCACCTGATGCATCAATCTGGGAAGTCATTCAGAGGGACTCTGTCTTACTTATTTTGGCAATCTTGACATTCCACCTGCTCCCCTAGTAGTTTGTTCAATAAACCGTCACTGTGCTTGGGACAGAGTAGAACTCAATGTTTACTGCAGTTGTGTGTTTCCTACTTCCTCTGTTCAAAGTCATCTTCCTTGGAATCTCTTGCTACCTATGTTATCTTGTGAATTCCTGACATGTTGTCTTTACTCCTTGCAGGCTTTGGGGTAGCGTTTTGCCCATAGCAGGTGCTTTAAAATTTTTGATTAATGGGTTGGAGAGAGATGTATGTAACCAGCTGAAGTATGTAGCAAATGGCATATTTCCGACTCTCAGATCCCCTGGGAGATGACCCTGAGCTGGGGAAAGCCTGCACTTACACAGGAGTGGGGGCCGATGGAGTGGGGGCTGACTGGTTCCAGCAGCAATTTTCCTATACCTTTCACATACATGCTTGCGGCACTGTCATCAGTTGTAAATGCATATGCCTCCCTCAGCTATAAACTCCATTCAGAGCATGGTGCATGACTTATTTCCAAACTGCCTAGCGCTACGCTTAGTACATTGGACAGATGTCATGTAAAAATAAAGTATGGCGAGATGTGTAGAAGATTGAACCTGAGAAGAGGCCAGGAGCTCAGACTGTGACAAGCGAATTCGGAGAGTGCGGGGGAAGGGAGCCGAGTTCAGCGGTTTGAATAAAGGCCCGGTCAGCCCGGGGTTTAAATCTTTGTTCCTTCCCCTTACTATCCCTCTGAGAGTTTCCTTATCAGCAGAACCGGATGATGACCATCACTCCATACAATGGTAGCAAAGAAAAAAAAGATGAAATGTGTTAAGAGGGGGACAGTGCCGGCGCGCAGGAAACGCCAACGTTAATTTCCCTCCCAAAAGGGCACCAAGGCAGTTGTCCCAATTCTGAGAAAGCCACCCGGGGTAATCTCAGCCCCGGGTTGGTCGGAGCGGCTCCGTCACTCAAATCCTTCCCTCTGTCAGCGAGGCAGCGCCCGCCAGAGAGCAGGGGCCCGTCACCGACGGCTGCCCAGCTCGCCGCCGCCCGCCGCCGATCTGGCTGCAGGCACCCGGCGCGGAAGGTCGGCTTCCTGCCCTTACGCTTGCGTCGGCTTCGTTCAAACAAGCCGCTTTCGGCGGCACCCAATCAGAACGCCCGATCTTCGGCCGCCGCCCAATGAGCGCGTGTAATGGGGGAAAAAAAAGGGCGTGAAGCCCAATCGCAGCGCCATCACACTTGAGGGCAAAGAGGTTAGGAAGCCGGCATGGCGCTCCGGTCAATAAAATCGATAGCTGGAAGCTGCCTGTGTTCCAGGCTAAGGCGGTGCGGTAGCGGCGCCGCCATCTTCCCCGAAGGCATCTTCCGGTGCCTTTCACCCAAGTTCGGGCAGGAGTTTCCTGAATAACAGCAAAAGGTTTCCGTTAGCCCCGCAAGGCGGCTGATTCCGATTCCCTCAGGGCCTCCCCAGGCACGCTCAGCTCCGGCCCGGCGGGGTTCCCAAATCCCGGGGTCGGCCGGGGGTCCAGGCCGGGACGGGGAAGGCCGTGGCGCCGGCTTCTGGGGTCCAATGGCGCCACCTTCGGCTCCGCTCTCCGCGCGGGGACCAGGAGAGGCCGGACCCGGCCGGAGAAGGGGAAGGAGGCCGCGGGCGGTGAAGTTCGCGGACGTGGCCGTGTACTTCTCCCCCGAGGAGTGGGGCTGTCTGCGGCCCGCGCAGAGGGCCCTGTACCGGGACGTGATGCGGGAGACCTACGGCCACCTGGGCGCGCTCGGTGAGGCCCGGCCCAGTTCGCTTCCGCGGGGCCCGAAGGCTTGGAAGAGCTTCGGGCGGGGGGGTGGGGGTGGGGGGCGACGGCAGGGAGTCCAGAGTGTCCGGGGACCTGGCCCGTGACCCGGTTGTGTCAGGGGAGGAGGACAGGGGCTTGGCAGGAGATGACACCGGGTAGATCTTTTACCCAGCCTTATCTAGGAGCTGGACGTCTGACTGGTTCTCCTTCCCCAGGGTGCGCAGGTCCCAAACCAGCCCTCATCTCCTGGTTGGAACGAAATACCGATGACTGGGAACCGGCCGCCCTGGATCCGCAGGAGTGCCCAAGGGGGTTAACAGTCCAAAGAAGTGAGTGAAAAATGCCCGTGCAGGGCCTGCAGCCTCTAACGACTACGTCTGGAGTGTTGGTGGCTAGGGGTACCTATGGCCCATGCTGTAATGCTTTATTTACTGTGATTGTTTTCACAGCTTCAGGGTCTTGTCTCTCTGATGGTGTTGGGTGTGTCCACCATACAGTGATTTACATGTTAGTTTGCAAACTAAGGGTCCGCAGTTCTCTATTGTGTGAATGAATCTGTGAGCTTTTGAAAGGAGCTACCTACCCTCTTGGCCTCCTTCCCAGGATCCCTGTCCTCAGTCTGCTCTGAACTGTGCTCTGACTGAGACACCTGGTACCTCTCTGAGTTTCTGGATTTTGGCTGAAGGGATCTCCTGGGGAACAGCTGCCTGGGGTGCAGGGCTCTCTTTCTGCCCTTTTGGAGGGGTGACCCCTCATCAGTGAAGGAAACTGCGCTCTCCTCGGGATCAAGCAAGGCTTTGATTAATGCCATTCAGGTGGAGCAGCCCCAGATCCACCCACAGAGGTGGACGTAACCGTCTGGGCTGCCGTTTCTGTGCTAGATTCTCTGAGACCAGGGCTATCTTTCCAAGATTCAGATCTGACCATGATACTTCCTTGCTAAAAACCTTTCAGTTTTTGCCACGGCAGGTTGTCTGTCAAATGGCTATCAGTTATCTCCTAAGTCACTTGGGGAACTCGGTAAAAAAATACAGATTCCTAGGGGCACCTGGGTGGCTCAGTCAGTTAAGCATTTGCCTTCGGCTCGGGTCATGATCCCAGGGTCCTGGGATCGAGCTCCGCATCAGGCTTTCTGTTCCATGGGAGCCTGCTTCTCCCTCTCCCTCTGCCTGCAGCTGCCTCCGCTTGTGAGCTCCCCCCCCACACCCCCACCCCCGTCAAATAAATGAATAAAATCTTTTTAAAAAATACAGATTCCTGGACACAGAACTATTGATTTACTCTGATGGATGTCTAGGACCTTGTATTTCTTTTTTTAACAGCCCCAGTTGATTGGCATTTATGTTTAGGTTTGAGACCCATTGGATAAAATAGAGTCCATGGTCCTGAACAGCCCTGGTTCTGAGAGTGTGGTCCTCAGACCAGCAGCAGCATCACTCAGGAAAGAACCAGATACAAATTCTTGGGCCCCGCCCCAGACCTGCTGAATCCAAAACGGTTTCAATGAGCCATCCAAATGATTCTGATCACAATAAAATTTGAGAACCACTGGCTTAGAGGGCCTTATGACCTAGTCTCTGCCAGCCTGTATCTCGTATTTCCACTTCCTGCCTTAACAGTTAACCTCTTCAAAAACTCCTAATCTCTCAAGCCTGCATAACCTGCAAGAAACGCTTCCCGACTTCTCCAGATTGAGCTTGGGACTGCTGGACTACCCTCCACATTTCGGTAGTGGTGCGTCACAGTGGGATGTCTGTGGCCCTAACACTCCCTGAAGACGGGCTGAGCCTGTTTGTCTTCTAACCTGTGACGCTGTCATAGGCAAGGGGAGGGCCCAGTATTTGTTAATATCTCCCTGTGTTTCTGTAGAAACCAGAACCAGAAAGAAGAACGGAGAGAAGGAAGTGTTGCCACCTAAGGAGGCGCCCCGAAAGGGCAAGCGAGGCCGGCGGCCCAGCAAACCCCGCCTGATCCCCAGGCAGACTTCTGGGGGCCCCATCTGCCCTGACTGTGGTTGCACCTTCCCTGACCGGCTCGCCCTGGAGAGCCACAAGTGTGCCCAGAATCTGAAAAAGCCTTACCCTTGCCCAGACTGCGGCCGCCGCTTTTCCTACCCGTCCCTGCTGGTCAGTCACCGGCGGGCACACTCTGGCGAGTGTCCCTATGTCTGCGACCAGTGCGGCAAACGTTTCTCCCAGCGCAAGAACCTCTCGCAGCACCAGGTCATCCACACAGGCGAGAAGCCCTACCACTGCCCGGACTGTGGCCGCTGCTTCCGGAGGAGCCGGTCCCTGGCCAATCACCGGACCACGCACACCGGCGAAAAACCGCACCAGTGCCCCAGCTGCGGGCGGCGCTTTGCCTACCCCTCCCTGCTAGCCATCCACCAGCGCACGCACACGGGCGAGAAGCCCTACACCTGCCTGGAATGCAACCGCCGCTTCCGACAGCGCACCGCCCTGGTCATCCACCAGCGCATCCACACGGGCGAGAAGCCCTACCCGTGTCCGGACTGCGAGCGGCGCTTCTCCTCGTCCTCTCGCCTGGTCAGCCACCGGCGGGTGCACTCCGGGGAGCGCCCCTACGCCTGCGAGCACTGCGAGGCCCGCTTCTCCCAGCGCAGCACGCTGCTCCAGCACCAGCTCTTGCACACGGGCGAGAAGCCCTACCCGTGCCCGGACTGCGGCCGTGCCTTCCGGCGGAGCGGCTCGCTGGCCATCCACCGCAGCACGCACACCGAGGAGAAGCTGCACGCCTGCGACGACTGCGGCCGCCGCTTCGCCTACCCCTCGCTCCTGGCCAGTCACCGGCGCGTGCACTCGGGCGAGCGGCCCTACGCGTGCGACCTGTGCTCGAAGCGCTTCGCCCAGTGGAGCCACCTGGCGCAGCACCAGCTCCTGCACACCGGGGAGAAGCCCTTCCCCTGCCTGGAGTGTGGCCGGTGCTTCCGCCAGAGGTGGTCTCTGGCCGTCCACAAGTGTAGCCCCAGGGCCGCCCTAGGGGGCGCCGGCCAGAAGGGCAGTGCCCTCTAGTACGGGAAGGACGGTAGATTCTCACTTCATTTCATGGAGGGGTCCAGGCAAGGGAAGGAGAAGCCCCGGGTCGTCCAAGGCAGAGTCCGCAGGGAAACCCAGGTCTCCTGCTACGGACACCTGAACTTTAGTGTATTTCACCACACTGGCTGCCGGACCGGTTGTGTCTAGAAGGGACAGTCCCGTTAGGCCAGGGGACATCGCGTGGCTCTTTTCCAGGCTACCCTATCCTGAAAGGATTTCTGTGTGTGGATATCAGGGCTAAAAGTTCTCCCATCTATCTTAGGGGCTGTTTGCTTTTCTAGTTTGTGCATACAGGCATCACCTGTCCCCTTGTATACAGTCCGGAGAATCCCATTTGTGGGGGGCAGTATCTTGCCCTACTCTGCCCCTTCCTCCATACCAGGGTTGAACAAACCTGGTTTAGCCCCCTTTTTTCAACACTCCTGCCAAGTGGTTTTTTACCCTTGCTTTAAAACCTCCCTTGACAGGGAGCTCACTACCTCACAAGGCAGGTCATTTCACTGTGGGATAGCTCTGATCTTTAGAAGGCGGTTAAGGACCACCTTCGCCTGGCCCAGAGTATGTAATACTTCATCGACATGACAGCATTTCCGATAACTTAACCACAGCTGCTTTGCCCATGTTTTCAGGTTCAATGGCATTATTTGGTCAGTCATTCCTTAAAGACGGGGTTTCAGCCCCCACACGTGCTTTCTCTCCAATGTCCCTTTTAAAGGGTCATGCAAAAATAAGCCAGCACCACAGTGTGCCTGGTACACCTCCTTGGTCTCTACTTGTTTTAACAGCTCTAGGTTGCACTGAATTTGGGGGTGGTGACACTGTAGCAGGGCTTCATTGGGCTGTAGACACAGACATACCTAAGCCTTTTTTTTTAAACCACATACTGTGAAGCTAAGTCTCCTGCCCCCTGTGTTTGGAAAATTGATTCAAGTTGGGTCTGGGACATAGGCAAAGTGAGCTTTGGGAGAAGACTGATTTTAAGGAGAAGGAGGGGAGCTGTGGTCTAGCAGCAAGAGGTAAAACTGGGACTAGTCTGTACTTCATCCAGGGGATTTGGGTTAGTTCCAGGCAGCCAGTAGCTAGAAAATCCTTGAGAACTGGGCCTCACTCCTCCCTGATTCTCAGCCGAATAAGGAGACATCAGCACAGAACCTTCCATGAGTCCTCAGTCAACATTTTTCATCAAGTGAGATGAGGCCATTCAAGGAGGGTAGAAAGTTAAGTAATTGAAGACAGGACAGGAAGGAGTCTACAGTCATCAAGTTGTGTTCATGCCTGCCTTCCTTACAGAAGCTCCAGGGCAGTGGCGGCAATGTGTCTTAATCTTTGATATGCCTCCCTGGCACCCACCCCCGCGTAGATGCTCAGTAAAGCTTTACTGCATTCAATGAACAAGGCCTACCACTTTGCCTTGGGTAGCTGCACCAAATTGGAATTTTCAAACATGACTTCTCGCCTATTCAACAGCTGGAGTGGGTCATGTTCCTACCCCTGTTGCTTGTATCTTCAGCTCTCCCAATCTCAGCCCCAAAGTGGGAGAGCAGCTGGGGAACACAGTGTTTGTAATTACCTCTGTGGTATTTAGCAAGTTGCATTGTAACTCTTGGTCTCTTTCTCCTTGGATGAATGGATGAGCTGCCCCAACACAGGGGTCATACCAGATTGGGTCTCATTAAAATGTCGATAAATGATGTTCCTTGTTGAATCACTGTTTATAAAATATAAGTCTAGGTTCTTGACTGGGTAAAAATTTTTAGTTCTGATGGAGACCTGCCTTCTCCTAACAGAGAGCTATTCGAATGTCTGCCTAGTTCTGTATTAGAGCTGGCTATTCTACTTTTATCACCAGGCTGATCCAACTCTTTATCTAGGAATTTTGTAACTTTCTTTGGGCCTGGATTGTAACTCATAAGACTTGGAGGCCAAGTTCCAGTGTGTGTGCAGTCAGTGGAGGGCCAAGATGATCGACAACTTCCTAGGTCCCCTAAGGCACTTCCGTCCCAGCGTCCATTCCTGACCAGCTGTGATCCTGGCCCTGTTTTCAGTGGGAGATCCCAGTATCCTTCCAATTTGTTCCCCCTTCTGTTTCAGGTAGTTGGTTTCTGTTACTTGCAACCCAAAGAATAAACTAATCCACCATCCCAATATGGATTTATTGCCCATGAGCTGTGAAGAGGGGAAAATTGGCAGTGCTGCTGAGAGGAGCCAGCACACCTTTCCTGATCTCCAACCTCAGTGAGCCTTCAGTACGACCTAAGTCTTCCCTGCATCCTTAACCAGTGAATACCTTCTCTTTCACTAAAACCCAAGGTTTCAAACAGGAACTCTTAACATTCCATTCCCCACTGACTCCACATTTACCAGTATTTACTTAGGTGTGACGCTCACCAACATAGCTGTGCTTGATTTCATCTACTGCCCTCTCGGGGACTTTGCTACATCTGTTATTCTTTCTCTCCTCTTAGTTTTATGGTTTCAGAGTCCCTCTCCTGTCTGGAACACACACATGCCAGTCTAAAATCTGTCTTTTTTTAAGATTTTATTTTTAAGTAATCTCTACACCCCACACGGGGCTTGAACTCGCAGCCCCAAGATCAAGAGTCGCATGCTCTACTAACTGAGCCCGCCAGGCGCCCCTCAGCTAAATTTCTTGAAACAGTAGCCTACATTCACTGTATTCTTTGGCCTACTGCAACAGCATTTATGATGGGCCAGGTACTGTGTCTTAACACTTTATATACATTCCAATGTGATGTGTAGGAGAACCCCACAAAGTAGTTGTTTGGAGATACGCTTCCGAGTGTCTCTCACATTGCCCCGTATCTTGCTGAGTATGCCAAAAATGCAAGGCCTTGCCTTCAACAAATTGTTAGATGAGCCGATTCCAGACCTAGAGCCTCTTGAGTGAGGAAAGGTTGAGTCCCTTGATGAAGGACTATGTTATGTTGGCAAAAACATGCTGGATATCTTCCTTTTAGCCTTTTCCAAATATACCATTTCCCAGGGTGGCAGGATACAGGAAAAGGGAAAGTAACTAGAGTTGTCAGGGATTACTGGACATTGGATCTAGACACATTCTAATTCTTGGAGATCCAAAACATCACTGTAGTTCACCAGGCAGTGGACTCATGAAGATCAGGCGTGTACAGAAAAGGGTTAACTCAGCAGGCCTAGGTTGCTCAAACCCTGAACATTCCAAAGAAAGCTCATCTTCAGGACTAGCACTTGGCTCATTCCTGGGAGATAAATTCCGAGCCCTTGTAATATTTTGCCTGATTAGGGTGTTTTCGTATGCTGGAGGCCTCGAGCCATGCTGTACCAGTCTGACCAGATGAGTTTATCCTAACAATGTGGTTTATGATGAATGCCTGTTTCTGCTCTGGGAGACAGAGTCTGAGTAGCTGAGATCAGTCATGTGAGTGCTCCATGTCTGTGTAACTGACTCCCCAGTAAAAACCCCAGACACCAGGCTTTGGGTGAGTTTCTCCAGTTGGCAACAGTTCACACATACTGTCACAAATCATTGTTGGGAGAATAAAGTGCATCCCTGTGCAACTCCACTGGACAAGGACACCTGGAAGTTTGTAAGTTCGCGCATGTCTGGTTTCTCCTGGACTTTGCCCCATGCACCTTTTTCCTTTGCTGATTTTAATCTGTATCCTTTTCCTTTAATAAGCTATAACCTAGAGCATAGAAAGAAAGAAAGAAAAAAACACAAGGCCCTGACGACTCGTTTACTCTTCCCTAGCCATTTCTTAGGGTTGTGTTTGCATTAAGCAACCGTGAGGGAGAAGTAGTGTCTCTATGTGGGACAAAGAGCAGCTTGCTTACTACTTACCACAAAGCACCAGGTTCCCCAAGTTCATTGTTCCTCCCCCACAGTGCAACTCACTGTGTGCCTAGCATCCATCGGGCCCTTCCATGTTGCCTCTGCGGGGCTTAGGATGGCAAAAGAGCCGATACATACATGATGCTCAGGTGGCTTGTGCCATGAATAAGGTCTTTCGTCTATGACATTGGATTCTCTTGTCTTCGGCCAGCATCCATGAAACAATGGGTAACCTTAAATTGCACACCTGACAGTAGGTATTATTTCCTTTTAATAGAGGAGGGAACTGAGGCTCACTGATAATATTAAATAACTTGTCCAGAATCACATATCTGGTAAACCTAAGGACCAGGATTCCAAGCCAGGTCTGACTCCAAAGCTGGCTGCAATACAAGGTACTACTCCACTGAAAAAGTCCTTTAAGACGCCTCATGACTTAGTTAGCAAATCAGTAATTTAATTTTTACCTTATTTATCTTAGTTTTCCTACTGAAGCTCTCTCATAACTTAGTTTTCATGCATCATTTTCTTCTAGTGTTCCTGGTGCCTCTTGTGGTTCCTTCTAGTGTGTACATATAGGACTTCCTTCTCAGCGTTTCTTGGGAAATGTATACATTTCCCCAAGTTCCAAGAACTGGGAACATGCAAAAAAAAAAAAAAAAAAAAGTACCATAATTGTCCTGTGAATTAAAGCTTTACAACAAACACAGAGAAGGGGCACCTGGGTGGCTCAGTCAGTTAAGCATCTGTCTTCAGCTCAGGTCATGGTCCCAGGGTCGTGGGATCGAGCCCCGCATCGGGCTCCTTTCTTGGAGGGGAACCTGCTTCTCCCTCTGCCTCTGCCTGCAGCTTCCCCTGCTTGCGCTCTCCCTCTCTCACTGTCAAATAAACACATAAAATCTTTTTAAAAAAAAAAACAGAGAAGTTACTGGTTTAGATTTCATTAAAAGCAAGACCAGGAAATTCTCCTAGAGTTGAAAGTGAAAGTCAACATACCTGTGAAAGGGACAGGAGGACCTAGAATAAAAGATGTCACAACAGGATCGGGTAACCTCGCTTGTAGCGGTGGCCGGGTGGTAAGTCTGTGTCCCGGGTCTCGCCTGCTACTAACCAGGAGTCAGTCTTGCAAATAAAATATTCTATTCACAGGATACTTTGTACGTATCTCCTATAAATGGTGTTCAAGAAGTAAGTTTTGGAAGTAAAATAAGTTGGTCTCTTAAATTGCTGTGGAAGTCACAAAATTGCAGATTTTTTTGTGGTAAAATATACATAAAATTTGCCATGTTCACCATTTTTAAATACACAGTTCAGTGGCATTAAGTACATTCACAATGTTGTACAGGCTGCCACTATTTCCAGAACTTTTCATCATCCCAGACACTATGTACCCATTAAATAATAAACAAATACATGAATGTTGTATTTGCAATATTGATAGTTATTACCAAATTGCTTTCCAAGGAGGCTGCATGAATTTACACTCCCATCAGCAATATGTGGGAGTGCCTCAGTGTATCATTCATTCCTTCATTCAACAAGTATCTTAGGCAACTGCCACAGGCCGTGTAATGTTCTCGGAGATGGAAATGCAACAATGGACAATATAGTGTTTGCCCTCATGGAGATTCCAGGCTAAAGAAAAAGACAATATCAGGAAGTGGTCAGTGCAGGATGAGGGGATGAAAGTGACGAGGGGGACTATTTGGGGACAGGAGTGTCAGCAAACTTTCTTCCCCCTGCCCACCCTCTTCAGCAAACTTTTTTCCCCCATCAGAAAACTTTTTTTTTTTAAAGAAACTTTTTTCTTTTAAAGATTTTATTTATTTATTTATTTGACAGAGAGAGAGAGAGCACAAGTAGGCAGAGAGGCAGGCAGAGGGAGAGGAAGAAGCAGGCTCTCCACTGAGCAGGGAGCCTGATGTGGGACTCGATCCCAACCTGAGCCGAAGGCAGCCACTTAACCGACTGAGCCACCCAGGTGCCCCCATCAGAAAACTTTTTGATCCCTGCTCATCTGAAAGCTGAAAAATACCATCATGCAATTCTACTTTGCGTTCCTGTTATGAGTGATTATTTTTTCAAATGCTTTAAGACATTGCTGTATTTTCTTTTACGTGAATTGCCATTTATATTGTTTTACCTGTTTTTCTGTTGTTAGTCTTTGTCTTCTGCATTTGTGGTTCTTTAATAAGAAATTAGTCCTCTGGAATATAATTTGCAAATATTTTTCTCAATTTGTCATTGTATATTGACTTAATGATTTTTTGCTACATATTCTTTCTTTATGCAAGTTTTCACCCCTTGTTCTTTGAAAGTAATACATTCTCGGGGCGCCTGGGTGCCTCAGTTGTTAAGTGTCTGCCTTCGGCTCAGGTCATGATCCCAGGGTCCTGGGATCAAGCCCCGCATCGGGCTCCCTGCTCCGCGGGAAGCCTGCTTCTCCCTCTCCCACTCCCCCTGCTTGTGTTCCCTCTCTCGCTGTGTCTCTCTCTGTCAAATGAATAAATAAAATCTTTAAAAAAATAAAATAAAGAAAGTAATACATTCTCTTGGAAGTTACCCTTAAATTTTCAACACATATATCTAACTTAAGTCTAATACTTCTCTTATCTGTATGCCTATTTTTATTTTATTTTAAATATTTTTCTAGTGAAATGCCACAATTTTCATTATTCGGTGCCACACGTTGTGCTTTGACTCATATCGTTTCCTCCAAGTTCATCTGGGAAGGGTGGCCATTTGCTGGGAGACTGCACAAAATATGGAATGCTTCACGAATTTGCATGTCATCCTTGAGCAGGGGCCATGCTAATCTTTCTGTATCATTCTGATTTTAGTATATGTACTGCTGAACGAGCACTGTATGCCTACTTTTTAGTTTATTTTTAATTTTTTTAGAGAGAGCGAGAGAGCAGGGGAGGGGCAAAGGGAGAGGAAGAGAGAATCCCAAGTAGGCTCCACACCCAGTGTGAGCCCCATGCAGGACTCGATCTCACCACCCCAAGATCCCAAGATCCCAACCTGAGCCAAAATCAAAAGCGGGTCACTTGGGGTGCCTGGGTGGCTCAGTTGGTTGGGTGTCTGCCTTCCACTCACGTCATGATCCCGGCGTCCTGGGATCGAGTCCCACATCGGGCTCCCTGCTCAGCGGGAAGTCTGCCTCTCCCTCTCCCTCTGCTGCTCTGTCAAATAAGTAAATAAAATCTATATATAAAAAAAAAAGTGGGTCACTTAACTGAGCCACCCAGGTGCTCCTGCCTATTTTTAATATAAAATGAAAAATACAGGGCGCCTAGGTGGCTCAGTCCTTAAGTGTCTGCCTTTGGCTCAGGTCATGGTCCCGGGGCCCTGGGATGGAGCCCCGCATCAGGCTCCCTGCTCGGCGGGAAGCCTGCTTCTCCCTCTCCTACTCCCCCTGCTTGTGTTCCCTCTCTCGCTGTCTCTCTCTGTCAAATAAATAAATAAACAAACAAACAAATAAATCAATAAATAAATAAAATGAAAAATACTGGGGCACCTGGGTGGCTCAGTCAGCTGTCAGATATTAGGTACTCACCTTTCACTTTTATTGTACACAGTACAGTATTTTCACAGGGACTTGCTAAAGGATTTAAAAGGTTTTTATCTTTTGGAGGAAAAAAATCTAATGTTGACCAAAATCTCCAAACTATAGGTAAAATATAAGGACCTTACAACATTTTCACTTAAGTCATTATACTCCCATTTAGGTCACAGCAGACACTCCTCTGCAACTGAAGGATGGAATGATTAAATGCGAGGAATTTATTTAATAAGAGAAAATGTCCTTCCAGAAATAAACCCTTATATTTATGATCAAGTGATCTTTTTCTTTTTTAAAAAAATATTTTATTTGAGAGAGAGAGCACAAGCAGGGGGAGGCACAGGAGAGGGAGAAACAGACTCTCCACTGAACAGGAAACTCGATGTGGGGCTGATTCCAGGATCCTGGGATTATGACCTCAGCCGAAGGCAGACATTTAAGTGACTGAGCCACCCAGGCACCCCCTTTATTTCTTTTAAGTAGGCTCCATGCCCAACGTGGGGTTTGAACTCATGACCCTCAGATCAAGAGTCCCAGGCTCTACCAACTGAGCCAGCCAAGCACCCCTATGATCAATTGATTTTCAACAAAATTGCCAAGACAATTCAAATAGTGAAATGGTCTTTTCAACAAATGGTGTTGGGACTAGATATACACATACAAAAGAATGAAGTTGGATCTCTACCTTCAACCATATATAAAAATTAATTTGGGGACCTGGTTGGCTCAGTTGGTTAAGCATCTACCTTCGGCTCAGGTCATGATCTCAGTGTCCTGGGATTGAGCCCTGCAATGGGCTCCGTGCTCAGCGAGGAGTCTGCTTGTCCCTCTGCCCCTCCACCCACTGTGCTCTCTCAAATAAATAAAATCTTAAGAAAAAAAATAACTCAATATGGACAAACCATAGACCTAAATGTAAGAGCTAAAACTATAAAACTCTTAGCAGTATACACAGATGTCAATCTTTGTGATCTTGGATCAGGCAATGGTTTCTTAGATATGACACAAAAAGCACAAGTGATGAAAGATAAAGATACACTGATTTCATCAAGATTAAAACTTGTGCTTCAAAAGAGATCTTTTTTTTTCTTAAGATTTTATTTATTTATTTGAGAGAGAGAGAGAATGAGGGAGAGCACATGAGAGGGGGGAGGGTCAGAGGGAGAAGCAGGCTCCCCGCCGAGCAGGGAGCCCGATGCGGGACTCGATCCCAGGACTCCAGGATCATGACCTGAGCCGAAGGCAGTCGCTTAACCAACTGAGCCACCCAGGCGCCCCTTCAAAAGAGATCTTGAAGAGAATTAAAAGATGGTCTGCTGAATAGGAAAAAATATTTCCAACTGATGTATCTGAAAAGGGATTTGAGTCTAGAATATATTTTAAGAACTCTTACACTGATACCAAAGCTACACAAAGACATTATAAGAAAATTACAGACCAATATCCCTTACAAATATTGATAGAAAAATCCTCAAAAAATACTAGCAAACCAAAGCAGCACATTAGAAGGGTTATACACTATGACCAAGTGGGATATATTCCTGGAATATATATATCTCTATGCTCAGCAGTGAGTCTGCTTCTCCCTCTGCCTCTGTGCTCCCTCTCCCTTTGTGCTCTTTCTCTCAAGTAAATAAATAAAATCTTTAAAAAAATAAACTGACATAGAATAAAATGCAAACAAATTTTAAGTGTGTATTTGCTGAGCGTTGACAATGCTTACACCCAAACCTCTATCAGGATATAGAACACTACCATCACCCAACAAAGTTCCCTTCCTGGTTAAACCCATCCCCATCCCGCCAGAGACAACTCCTTCTCTAATTGTGTCCCCACCACAGATTCATTTACCCTGTTATAAAATGTCATATAACTGGAATCCTACAGTGTGTATCCTTCTGTCCACGGCTTCTTTCATTCAGCCATAATCTCTTTGAGTAATGCTTCTTTCAGTTCTTCAATTCTTGAATTCAGAGCTGGGAGAGTGCTCCCACACCCAATACAGTACCCGAGAAAGCTCAGAAATAGCTCCTCCATAATGTTACCTGGATTAGTTTCCCATTGCTACTATAAGAAATTACCAAACTAGGTGGTTTAAAATAACACAAATTTATTATCTTACAATTCTGTAGGTCAGAAGTCTGAAAATAGGTCTTACAGGACTAAAATCAAGGTGTTAGCAAGGTTGCATTGCCAATCTCTAGAGGAGAATCCTTTCCTTGCCTTTTCCAGCCTCTAGAGGCTGCCCAAAGTCCTTGGTTTGTGTCCCCTTTCCAGCAATCCATCACTCCCATTTTTGTTGTCCCATCTTTTTCGACTTTGATCGTCCTGCCTCCTCCCTCCCATTTTTTTTTGTTTACATAAATTAACTCATTATTATAGGCTAGCAATGTTTCAAATGAAAAAAATTCCTTCAGTCTTCTGATGGACAACAGAAGCGGTCTTGTAGGTCCAGGTACCGCCACCGATCATTCTCATGCAGGAACCACAATGCCAGATCGTCACAGCTCGTGTTTTCATCTTTGGTTTGCCACAGAAGGAGCAAAAATGTACTTGGAGTGCTGGCTTATTTCAATTTTTTTTTTAAGATTTTATTTATTTCAGAGAGTGAGAGAGAGAGAGAGCATGAGTGGGGGGGTAAGGAGCAGAGAGAGAGGGAGAAGCAGACTCCCCACAGAGCAGGGAGCCCGATGCAGGGCTTGATCCTGGGACTCCAGGACCATGACCTGAGCTGTAGGCAGATGCTTAACTGACTGAGTCACCCAAGCGCCCCTTATTTCGATTTTCTTCATCATTTTCCTGACAGAGGCACCACAATGGGTCCTGTATTTACTGACAATTCTGACCTTCTTGGTGCATTTTAGCCATGTCGCTGCAAACTAGCTCCGAGCCCAGAGGAGCCTCCCGTCTCCCTTTTATAAGGATCTTTGTAATTACATTGGACACGCTGGTATTCAAGATAGTCTTCCCATCTGAAAATCCTTAGCTTGATCACATCTGCAAAGTCCTGTTTGCCAATATAACATATTCACAGATTTCAGGGATTAGAACATGGACATCTTTGGTGTCCATTACTCTGTCTGCCATGTCACCTGAATAAATAAAAGACCTTAAAACCACGCTTCTCAAAACTGGGCAGCTTGAAGATACAAAATAAATATATCTTCTGGATATATCAATGCTTCTTGTAGATTTGGGAGAAAATCTTCTTTGAATCAGCAATTCTGCTTCTAGAATTTTATTCTACAGACATGCTAATATATGCATCTAAAGAAGTATATCTAAGGATGTGATTGCAGTATCTTATGGTAGTTAAGACTGGAAACAAACTAATTGCTCATCAACAGAAAATGAACTAAATAAACGTTTTATCCATACAGTGGGACACTATGTATGCAGCCATTAAAAAAAGCAATCTATATGTGCTGAAATTAAACAATCTACAAGATGTATAAAGTGAGAAAAGAAAGCAAAGTGAACAGTGTGTTTATTATGCTACTTGTGAAAAGAAAAAAAAGTATGTTTTTATGTACCTAAATTATCTCCAGAAGGACACAAGAAGCAGGTTGCCTCTAGGAAGGGGAAGGAAGACTAGAGGGAGGAGACTTTTTTAATTGAAGCATAACACACATACATAAGTCTGCAGGTTAATTTTCACAAACTGAACACTTCCGTGTAACCAGCATCTAGATCAAGAAACAGAATGTTATCAGCACTTTACAAACAAAAAACTTGGATTAGTAATAGCTTGGATTAGTTTTACCAAATTTTGTATTTTATATAAATGGAATCACATATTACATATTATTTTGTGTCTGGCTTCTTTTGCTCAACACCATGTCTGCAAGATTCATCCACATTATGCTTGTAATTCTATATCATTCATTCTCATTTCTGAGCAGTATTCTACGAATAGTATTCTGTAAATAGTATTCCCATGAATGTTCCACAATATTTTAATTCCTTTTTCTACTGTTGTGGATAGTTTCTGGGTTTTGGCTGTTGCAACTAGTGTTGCTGTGAACATTTGAGCACATGTCTTTCAGTAAACATATGTATGCGCTTTTGTTGGGTAGACAGGGAGGAGTGGTATTGCTGGGTCATAGGTATGCATATATTTAGCTTTAGTAGATACTGCCAGTTTTCCAAAGTAGTTGTACCAACTTACACTCCACCTACAGTGTAAGAGCATTCAACATTTGCAAATCTTACTTTTGACTCTGCATTCTATTGAATGTGGTTATATTATGAAATAGAATGCATAGTCACATGAATTGTAAAGCTATACTATGTCTTCAAAGTGGTTTCACTGTGGGGATGGTCAGCTTTTTTGTTATATCTCTAGAACTTTCCTTCGCTGCTCCTATATTAGTTGGAAAAGTCTGAAAAACAGATTAAGAGATGATCTGATTCGTTTCCCAGTTTTATTACTCATTTATGAGCTGTAATTTAAACACAAGTTTTCCGATTGAGACAGGGTACAGTAAGCACTTAGCTAAGCCTTAACACTTAGCTGAACCTAGAAGCCAGAAAATAACTTTCAATCTGGCTCTGCCGCCGGTGTAGTCACCTAGGCTTTCTGTTCCTCAGCTGCTGCGTCTGTGAAAGGCAGGACATCTGTGACCTCGGGCCATGGGCCAAATCAAATACCGGTAGGAACCGGGGTAGCCTTGCCCTGAGTACCCAGAGCAGGCGGGGACGGGCCATCCCTCACTTCCAACATCTCCAGAATCGGCCTCAGTCTTAGCCCGTCGGCTTTTACTCACCTCCAAGCCCGGGACATCGGCATCTGCTCGCAACAGGTCTCATGTAGTAGTAAAAGGGAGTAGCTCCAACCCGTCAAACCCTCTTTTTTTAGGACCTGTCCGGGAAAAGCCAGGTGAAAAGAGAGCCTACTGCCCCCTCAGCGCCCGCCACCTTCAGACCAGTCGCTCCCTGCCCTTCAGCCTTTCAAATAGGCCGCTCCGACATGACCAATCAGAGCCTTCCTTCTTCCCCAGTCCACCCAGCGCTGTCCAATCAACGCACGTCATCTACGGTTGGGGGCGCTGCGGCTCCAACCTCCCTTCTGGTTTTCCCCTTGGTACCTAACGGCAGACAGGAAAGGCAAGGGAGGTTGAGGCTGGAGGGACGCCATGTTGGTCAAGGGCAGTGCTCTGGCCCTTAAGGACTTTTTCAGAAGACAGGAAGGCTCTAGGGTTTCCACATGTTCCGGAAGCCTTTCTTGGCGTAGCCCTGGAGAGCTTGCCCATGGCGCCGCCCGTGGCCCGGCTCCCGGCGGGTGTACCCGGGGAGGCCGGGAGCGGGCCGACGAGAGAAAGCAGCCCCGGGGCCGTGAGCTTCGCGGACGTGGCCGTGTACTTCTCCCCCGAGGAGTGGGGCTGTCTGCGGCCCGCGCAGAGGGCCCTATACCGGGACGTGATGCGGGAGACCTACGGCCTCCTGGGCGCGCTCGGTGAGGCCCGGCGGTCCAGCCAGGACCCAGTAATCCGTGGGAAGGGGGGACTAACTGATGTCCCCAGAGACAAGTGGGCTGGAAGTGTGGGGCACTGGGGAAGCACCCTCATCCTCCCCTCTCGGGTTCCCAGCCGAACCCAATGTTTCCCTTCCGCAGGATTTTCAGGCCCTAAACCCGCTTTTATTTCTTGGGTGGAAGGAGAGGTGGAGGCGTGGAGCGCGGAGGCCCAGGATCCAGAGGGTGAGACCCCAGCAGCTGTCATCAGAGACAGGGGGAAGATAACAGGTACTTCACGTCAAACCCAGTATGGGACCTTGGAGAACCCCCTCCCCCAACTCGGATCCACAGTACACACCGCCCCCTCCAAAGCCCCATCGTGTCTCCCTACACCTCATCTCCAGAAAGTTCCAGTGTCACTGCAAAATGGCTCATAGAAGAGCTAAATTGGGACTTATAGCACCACTTAATTATACAGGGAATCCTGTTTAGTGCAAAATAGTGCCTGAGTTGCCAGGGCAGCCAAAGGAAAGGAGAAACACATCCGTAATTTGGTTTTTGTTGTGTAATAAAATGAAGACAAATGTTCCTTTTGGATATTATGTGGTTCACACTGTAATGATGTCATTCATCAGCGATCTTAAAATCAAGAAAAGGTGTTTTCTCTGCAGCCATGTCATAATAAATGCTTGTTCCCAGGTCTTCCCGTGGAACCTGGAGTACAGTCCAAGTGTAGACATTTTGGCGATGGCCTTGAATGGCACCAAGGGAGATCATTTAATGGCTGTTTTGCAAAGGGATCATAAACAGGCTCAGGACTGTAAGCTCTATGAAGGCTGGGACCATCACCACCCTCATTGCCTGACAGAGTAGGGGTTCAATATTGTTGACACCTCCATTTATCTCCAGTTTTCAGAGCTTTCTTGTGTTAACACCAGCCAGACGATGAATTTTGCTTTTACTCCAGGGTGGCTTTCTGGGCTTGATGAGGCCCCCCGTCTCAAAGACTGCCATATACTCAGACACTCATGCTGCCTCCCAGGGAAGGCCACTGTATGGAACGTGCTCGTGAGTTTCAAGTCTTATCTTTTTCCCTGTCTCAGGATCCAGGGATGAGAGTGAAGAGAAAGAAGAACTGAAGAAGAGTCCAAAGCAAAAAGAGATGGAGCATGAGGAAGTGTCTCTCGAGGAGTGGTTACCATCCAGCAGGCCACCTGGTGCCAATCACAGAGCCTCCTGCCCAGCGCTCTGCTGGAACTCAGGGCGGAGCCCAGTCAAGCCTTGGTTCAAGGATACCACGACCCGCAGATCACCCTACTCTTGCCCAGACTGTGGCCGCAACTTCAGCTACCCCTCCCTCCTGGCCAACCACAAGCGGGTCCACTCTGGGGAGCGGCCCTTCCCCTGTGACCAGTGCCAAGCTCGCTTCTGCCAGCGCAAGTATCTGCTCCAGCATCGGGTCATCCACACGGGCGAAAAGCCCTACTCCTGCCCTGATTGCGGACGACGTTTCCGCCAGAGGGGTTCCCTGGCCATCCATAGACGGACTCACACGGGGGAGAAGCCCTACCCATGCCCAGACTGCAAAAGCCGCTTCACTTACCCCTACCTGCTAGCCATCCACCAGCGCAAGCACACAGGCGAGAAGCCCTACAGCTGTCCCAGCTGTGGCCTCCATTTTGCCTACAGCTCCCTGCTGGCTATCCACAGGCGCACGCATACGGGCGAGAAGCCCTACCCCTGCCCAGACTGTGGCCTCCGCTTCACCTACTCATCTCTCCTCCTCAGTCACCAGCGCGTTCACTCTGACAGCCGGCCCTTCCCCTGTCCACAGTGTGGGAAAGGTTTTAAGCGCAAGTATGCCTTGGAAGCCCATCAGTGGATCCACCGCTCTGGCAAGAGGCCGAGGTGGCGGCGGCCTGCAGTAGGGCTCTCGGAGCCGATCCTTGTTTTGGGAGGCCAGGATCCCCCAGTTCATTTCCGGTACTTTCCAGATATATTTCAAGAATGTGGGTGATAGAGCTCACAAGAAATGTTTTCTTTGGAAGGGAAAAGGCAAAGTTTATGCATTTGGGGGATAAGGAATGGAAAGGAAGTAGGCATTGAAGGAAAACAAAGCTCTGAGTTAAGGGAGCACAGAGCTGGTCCTTTGGAAGGAGGCAGGAATCTGAAAGGCCATCTGAAGGCTGACCCCATTTTCTGAGGCTCCTGCTCCCACTTCCAAGTCCCACTTGGGAGTTTCTTCCCAGCAAATCATTTACCTACCTGGCTTTTTCCCCCCCTTGGATTGTTCTCTCCATTAGAGCATTCTGCTTTCTGGCCTGTAACTCTCCTGTTCCTCAGAGATGGGGTCCCCACATGCAAGAACACACCTTGGGCCTATCCCCGGTGCGGCGGGGGAGCTCATCCAAGGATTCTTTTACCCAGTGCCGATGAGACATCTGGCAAGGAGACGCACATGGTGTCTAGCCACTGTTGGCACTCTTTGGTCTTAAAATCTTGAAGGTGACCACAGGAAGGAGAACAACGGCTTCAGGTGGGGAACCATCCTGCCCCATGCTCACTCTGCACCTAGTGCACAAAAGTGTCAAGCTTAGCATAAAGGGTTTTTTCCCCCCCTCAAACTTTTATGAATTAGTGATTGCAGTGTTTTTCTCTTCAGATATTTGCATGGCATCCGGATTTTACACCTCCTGAGTAAAGATGTGTTCTTGGGCTACAGCAACTGGAAACATAACGTTGGCGCTTCTATTTAAGAGAGTAAATTGGGATGCCTGGGTGGCTCAGTCGGTTAAGCGTCTGCCTTCGGCTCAGGTCATGATCCCAGGGTCCTGGGATCGAGTCCGGCATCGGAGCGGGGAGCCTGCTTCTCCCTCTGCCTCTCTCTCTGTCTTTCATGAATAAATAAATAAAATCTTAAAAAAAAAAAAAAAGAGAGTAAATTACTTGTGATTAGGCTTGAAATCAAGGCCAAGTATCTCCAGTGTAGTTTTTAGCGTAATGCTTGTATGTCTCAGCAGTTAAGAGGGGTCTTTCTGACCCACTTTGATCTCCTAGCCGTACTTCTGATCAGGAGACTATTGATGGAATAAGGATGTGGGTGGGACTAAGCACAGCTGCATGCCAGGAGTGGTCCTGGGGGACTCAGTTATCTCTGTGAACAAGAGACTGCTCTTGGAATCCCTGGGTTCCAAAGATGATTATGAATGGAAACTGGGTGTTATTTTACCACACCACACAGGCTCTCCTGAATTGGTAGACCTGGATTCCAGGTTTGGCTCAGTCCCCACTAGCTGTGGGGCTGTAAGCCTATCATTCAACCTTTCTAAGCCCTCACTGTCTCACTTGGCAACTCCACGGGTTGTCTGAGATAAAACATGAAAGCACCTCACAGATCGTCGTAGTTTGACGAACAAGTGGCTGAGAGCCCCCATAACGTTTTATAACCTTTTTCGTTCAAAAGAGTTGTAAGAATTTTTTGGGAAACACTCACGCCCTTTCTACAATTAATCTAGATTCTATAATTGTGCTACATTTGCTTTATCACATGTCAATTGATGAATCCATCCCCTATCTGTTCATTTATACATCTTATTTCACAGTAAGCTGCTTTATCACATGTCAATCGATGAATCCATCCCTTATCTGTTCATTTATACATCTTATTTCACAGTAAGTTGCAGGCATCATTATACTTCATCCCTAAACACTTCAATGGAAGGCTAAGCTTTATGCAAGAAACTTTAGCTCTCCCTTAAAATTCAAATACGCCGGGGCGCCTGGGTGGCTCAGTTGTTAACTGTCTGCCTTCGGCTCAGCTCACGATCCCAGGGTCCTGGGATCGAGCCCCACATCGGGCTCCCTGCTCCGCAGGAGGCCTGCTTCTCCCTTTCCCACTCCCCTGCTTGTGTTCCTTCTCTCGCTGTGTCTCTCTCTGTCAAATAAATAAAATCTTAAAATATATATATATATATAAATAACATACTACCTAAGTAAACAAAGGTATTTTTTGGTCTAGGTGAAATCCTTTGTCATTTCTCTTTAGGTAAAGTTGATTCTCTGTTTAGAAGGAGACTCCTATCTGAAGATACATTTTTCCTTATTCCATTTCTACACTATTCACCACAATGAGTGCAGTGAGGCCCCTCCAGGACTCAAGTTTAAAAAGTTACAAAACAAGCAGGTAATTGTTGAGATGAAATCAGCAGAAGTCATACCAAAAGCCAGAAGTATTCCAGGTGAAAAACAGCAAGGGTGGGGCAAGAAAATATAAAGACGGAGAAGGCACTAACTTAGTCAACAATGAAGGACATTTGTGAACACAAAGGAGAGACAGCGTGTGCTAGGGCAGGCAGGAGATCCAAGGTTCCAAGACCAGATAGTGGACTGCTGGCAACAGAGATGTAGGTTTTGTTCGTTAATCCAATGACTAGCCCCATGCTTAGCAAACAGGCCCTGGCATCCTGCCTGATTGCAGGAATATTCCCAATGGGATAAAGCTATCTAGTATCTAGGGACACCTGGGTGGCTCAGTTGGTTAAGTGGCTGCGTTCGGCTCAGGTCATGATCCCAGGGTCCTGGGATTGAATCCCGCATCCGGCTCTTTGCTTAGCGGGGAGCCTGCTTCTCCCTCTGTCTGCCGCTTCCCCTGCTTATGCTCTCTCCATCTCTCTCTCTCTGACAAATAAATAAAATCTTAAAAAAAAAAAAAAGCTATCTAGTATCTACAGTCCAATGCCAAAAACCATTAAGATGATCCACCTCCACTAAAAAATAGGAAGATATTGAAACTAGGAAGCAGAGGATATAATTCAGGACAGTAGGGAAGTCAGACGCTGGATGACAGCTGAGGCCCAGGCAAGTCTGGAGAGAGAAGACCGAGGGGTCAAGGAAGGTTCCCCAGGGAAAAAATGGTAATCTGAGATTTGACACTATCCCTGGTAATTTAGGACAACTTAAAGAAGCAGAGGGGTGCCTGGGTGCCTCAGTCAGTTAAGCGTCTGCCTTTAGCTCAGGTCACAGTCTCGGAGTCCCAGAATTGAGCCCAACCATCAGGCTCCCTGCTCAGCAGGGAGTCTGCTTCTCTCTCTGCCCCTGACCCCGCTCATGCTTGTCTCTCCCTCTCTCAAATGAATAGATAAAATCTTTAAAAAAAAACAAAAATAAAAAACGGGGGCACCTGGATGGCTCAGTTGATTAAGTGTCTGCCTTCAGCTTGGGTCATGATCCCAGGGTCCGGGGATCGAGCCCCACATCAGGCTCTGCTCAGAGGAGAGTCTGCTTCTCCCTCTCCCTCTGTGATCTGTCTTGATTTCACTCTCTCTCAAATAAATAAATAAAATCTTCTAAAAAAAAAGCACAAAGCACAGATAATGCAAGGAGAAAGGGAATACAACTGGAAATTTTTAAAAAGGCAAACAATCACAATGGCAATCATATTACAATATATAAATTTATCAAAACAACATGTTGTACACCTTACATTTACACATGTTCTATGCCAAATATGTTTCAGTAAAAAAGAACAAACAGTTGACAAAAAAGGAAACAATCATAGCATGTACAGGAAATTTTTTTTAAAAGATGTTATTTATTTATTTATCTAGCTATTTATTTATTTATTTTAGATAGATCTCACGCTTGTGAGCAGGGGAAGGGGCAGACGGGGAAGGAAGAGGACAAGCAGACTCTGCACTGAGCACGGAGCCTGATATGCGGCTGGATCTCACGACCCTGAGATCATGACCGGAGCTGAACTCAAGAGTCGGATGCTCAACCTACCGAGCCACCCAGGCACCCCAGGAAATTTTATAATAATTTATTGCATTATGTTGGGAAAAGAGGTGAAGGAGATGGGGCTAGAAACTGAGCAAGTATCATAGTAAGATGTCCACAAATAATTTCTAAAATGAATATATCAAGGGATGCTTGGGTGGCTCAGTCGGTTAAGGATCTGCCTTCGGCTCAGGTCATGATCCCAGGGTCCTGGGATTGAGTCCCGCATCGGGCTCCTTGCTCAGTGGGGAGTCTGCTTCTCCCTCTACCTGCTGTTCCCCCTGCTTGTGCGCACGCTCTCTCTCTGACAAATAAAGAAAATCTTTTTTAAAAAATAAATACAAAAAATTAATATATCAAGAAACAACAGTAAAAGCATTTTTTTTAAAGAGTTTTTTTTGAGAGAGAGAGCACATGCACACGGGGTGGGAGCAAGCAGGAGTTGGGGGTGAGCAGAGGGAGACCATCTAAAGCATTTTTTTTTTAAGATTTTATTTATTTTTGACAGAGAGAGTGTACAAGCAAGGGAAGCAGCAGGCAGAGGGAGAGGGAGAAGCGGGTCCTGGGATCGAGCCCCGCATCGGGCTCCCTGCTTGGCGGGAAGCCTGCTTCTCCCTCTCCCACTCCCCCTGCTTGTGTTCCCTCTCTCGCTGTGTCTCTGTCAAATAAATAAAATCTATAAATACATACATACATATATACATAAATGCAAGCTCCAGAAGAAAGGGTAAGAGTTAAAAGTGTATTGATGCAGTCTGCGAAGATGAAAAAGCTTTAGAGGATGATGGTGATGGTTGTGCAACAATGTGAATGTACTTAATACCACTGAACTGTACACTTAAAAAATGGTTAAGATGGCAGTGAAATAAGTCAGACACAAAAGACAGGTGTTATACAGTTCCACTTATGTGAGGTACATAGAATAGGGAAATTCATAGGCACATAAAGCAAGTTGGAAGTTACCAGGAGCTGGGGAAAAGATTGGGGAGCGACCACCTTGTGGATTCCCAGTTTCCTTTTTGCAGTGGTGAAAATGTTTCGGAAAGAGTGGTGACAGATGCACAGCATTGTGAATGTAATTAATGCCACTGAACTGTAAACTTAAAAATGATTAAAGTGGCAAATATTATGTCTTGTATATTTTACCACAATTAAAAAAAATAATGTAATATACCCAAACCCATTGAACTGTACAATTTAAATGCATGAATTAGGGGCGCCTGGGTGGCTCAGTTGTCAAGCATCTGCCTTCGGCTCAGGTCATGATCCCAGGATCCTGGAATTGAGCCCCGCTTGGGCTCCCTGCTCTGCGGGAAGCCTGCTTCTCCCTCTCCACTCCCTCCTGCTTGTGTTCCCTCTCAAATAAATAAATAAAATCTTAAAAAAAAAAAATAAATGTATGAATTATCTAATGAGTGAATTTTATCTCAAAACAATTAAACAAAATTCCTTACACAAATGTTCACAGCAACATGAAAAGTAAAAACAACTCAAATTTCCATCAACTGATGAATGGATAAACAAAATATGGTATACAGGTGTCCCCTCGCTTTTCTTTTTCTTTTTTTTTTAAGATTTTATTTATTTATTTGAGAGAGAAAGAATCAGAGACAGCATGAGAGAGAGGAGGGTCAGAGGGAGAAGCAGACTCCCTGCTGAGCAGGGAGCCCAATGCAGGACTCAATCCCGGGACTCCAGGATCATGACCTGAGCCGAAGGCAGTCGCTTAACCAACTGAGCCACCCAGGTACCCCCCCCCTTTTTTTTAAGATTTATTTATTTTGAGAGAGAGGGAGACAGCACAGTGGGGAGGGGCAGAGGGAGAGGGAGAGAGCTGCGTCCAGTACGGAGCTAGACACAGGGCTCGATCCCACAACCCCGAGATCAAACCTGAGCCAAACCAAGAGTCAAACGCCCCAAGGACTGCATCACCCAGGTGCCCCAGGTGTCCCCTCACTTTTCAGAAGCTCCCATTAGGCCACTTCGTTTTAACAAAAACCTACATTAGGACCTGTTTTCACTAACCAAAAGAAATCTGAAGAGGATTTTTGCTTTTACAGGCAGCTCACACCCCAAGCAGCGAGACTGGCCCCACCAAGCTCCTTCCCAGGGAGCTACACTCAGCCTCTCAGCATCAAGCTATTAGAGCTTTGAAATATGTGAGCATCTGTGCTTGATCTACATTTATTTTGTGCATCTTTTAGCAAGATTTGTCCTAAGGTATCAGTAAAGCCTAAGAGAGGTTATTTTTGGAATCTGGGAATGCTCAAAAAATTTTCCATATAAACTAATGGTAATTACTTCTTCGCTTTACACGATTTCAGCTTATGAAAGGTTTCACAGAAATGTTCTACTTTGGGACAGCAGGGGAAACCTGTATCCATACAATGGAATATTATTCAACCATAAAAAAGGAGTAAGGTACTGATAAATGCTACCTCGATGAACCTTGAAAACATTTTGCTGTCACGAACCAGACACGAAAGTCCACATATTGCATGACTCCATTTATGTGAAATATCCAGAAAAAGTAAATCCACAGAGACAGAAACATTCGTGATTGTCAAGCAATGGAGGCAGGGGAGGATGGGGAGTGGCTATTCCAAGGGTAGGGGCTTTCCTTTAGGAGTGATAAAAGTAGTGATGACAGTTGCATATTGTTAATGTCCTAAATGCTACTGAATTGTAAGGTCTAAAGTGGTTATTTTTGTTACATGTATTTTACCACAGTGAAAAGTTGTGTAATGATTGAAAAGTGCACAACGTAACATGCAGAGGTCATCAATGCTCTATATTTTGTTTTGGGTGACGGTTAACATGGTTGTATGCATTTGTCAAAACTCAGCGAATTTTACACCGAAGAACTGTGCATTTTACTGTACGTATGATATAATTCAGATTCATAAAAAGAGTTCAACAAAGTGGTCTTTAGGGAACAAGGTGAAAGGGTACAGGGGGCTGCCTTTTTCACTTTTTAAAAAACCACGCATAATAATTTTTAGAAAATTAAAATGTATAATTTCCCCACTCCGATTCCAACCTCACCAAGCAAAGTTCCTCCCCCTAAGCTCCAGTCCAGAGACTGAGAGCCGTCCCGCGGGTGCAAGGAGTCGGACGCGCCCCGCAGCCGTGGTCTCAACGGTAAACCGTGTACCTGGTTTCTACCTTGGCTGTCCCCAGGGTTTGGCCAGGGTATATGTGTCTCTCACAGGGGCTAGGGACCCGATTCCAGATCCTGCCGTCGGGAGGCATGGAAGGAGACCGTCGAGGGCACAATCCCGAGTTCCGCGGACGCGGAGGGTCTCCATAGGTTCCAACGCCAGGGGACCGAGGTGCTCTTTCCAACGCCCGGCCAACCCGAGATCTGGCGGCGCAGCCTCTTCCTGCTCTGTGGGCCAATCACCGGCCGCCGGGCAGCGCGGGCAAAGAGCGGTGCTGGAAGCCACGGCCCGTCCATCTTTCTTGAGGGCAGGAAGGCTCCGCCCCCCCAGTCCATTTTTCCGAGTTCCGTCTCCGCCTAGCCTAACCGCCCCCCGCCCGCAGCGGCCATTGTAGTTGAGGGCAAGTGGCCGCTGAGGCCAGAGAAGCCAGACAGGCGCCATGTTTGATATGATCAAGGAATGGCGCCCTTAAGAGCATCCAGTGACAACTGAAGCCAGGATGTCGCCATATTTTCTGAAGACACCTTCCGGGTCCCTTAACCCGGCTGTCTTAAGTCCAAGCTGCCGTGAAGTGAATAAACACCGAGGGGTTTTGTTTGTCCCCATCCCAACCCCCGAATCCCTCGCAGCCAATCCCTGCTACCTCGGTGCCCTCGACTGCGTTCGGACGCCAAGGCTGGGCGGGGCCCCGACCTCCGGAGCCCTTGCTGTGGACGACGAAAGCTGAGGCCGCGCGCGGGGAGGCGGTGGCCTCGGGGACAAGGCGGCCGCTACTCGGGGCCGGGAGGCCCCATGGCGCCGCCCCCAGCCCCGCTTCTGGCGCTGAGACCGGGGGAGACCGGGCCTGGTTACAAGAAGCCCGGGGCCGTGAGCTTCGCGGACGTGGCCGTGTACTTCTCCCCCGAGGAGTGGGGCTGTCTGCGGCCCGCGCAGAGGGCCCTGTACCGGGACGTGATGCGGGAGACCTACGGCCACCTGGGCGCGCTCGGTGAGGCCCCGGGTCAGAGCCCCCCTCCTCCTTCACTGGGGTTCACAGGGGAGATGACATGAGGACCGAGATGATTGTGAGCCCTAATCCCACACTATTCCACCAACAGCACCAGCCACCTCCATTCCCAGGGCTTCAAGTTAGGGAGTGCTTCCACCTGGCATCCGCTTCCTTCAAGCAGGAGCATTGCAGACCCTGTCCAGGTTGAGCCCAAGTTCTGAGGAGGTGCCCTTACCCTGGCAGGGGGATGCCATCTACCCAGGACAGCCTCTCAGGCCAGCACTGTGATCCCTGTTCTCTCCCAGGATTCCCAGGCCCCAAACCAGCCCTCATCTCTTGGATGGAACAGGAGAGTGAGGCTTGGAGTCCCGCCGCCCAGGATCCTGAGGAGGGGGAAAGCCTGGGAGGAGCTCTGAGAGGTGAGGGATTGTCCCAAGTCTCCCCCCACTTGGCGCTCCAGGGCTTCCTGTCTCACAAAATTTTCCTTTGGATCCCCACTTTCAGCAGCCCTAAAGGAATTAAAGAGCCCCCCCCCCCCCCCCCCGCCCATGTTGGATACTAAAGGAGGAAAGAAGGCAGACCTGGTACAAGTTTTCAGAACTTGGGACAGTTAGTCATTTTAGGACCAGATTAGGAGAATCAGGAACCCAAGTCCCAGACTCAGGTTTCTAGGGCCCTCTTGGAGAAAACACCACTCATTCTCCCCTTTTCAAGAATGACTAAAACCCCCTAGGAATGGAAGCAGCTTCAGGTCCTCCTTTCACATTCCTCAAGCAAGGCAAAGTGGTACAAGAGGAAATGCCCACTAATCAACAGGGTGGCTCTTCTCCCCTCACCATCCCCTAGCAGAGTGATCTTGAGCAAATATGTTTCCTCATCTGCAGAAGTCTTATCCTATAAAAAATCGAGCAAACACAATAATACTAGCTATTGTTTTATTGAGCATTTACTAAATGCCTAACATGCTTCTCCTGATTTAATCCTCCTAACCCTGTGAAGTAAAGAAACCATCGATTCCCATTTGAAACATGAGAGGCAAGGCCCGGATAAGTCACTCTTAGGAGATGTGAACTGTATTTATCATCCTGCAAAGCCTGTGTGTCAATTGCTGGGCAGGACTTTTCTGCCACTTCCCGAAGTATAAGAACCCTATAACCTGAGATGGTGTAAGCAAATGTGTTCTAAAATGTACCTTGGGGGGCGCCTGGGTGGCTCAGTCGTTAAGCGTCTGCCTTCGGCTCAGGTCACGACCCCAGGGTCCTGGGATCGAGCCCCGCATCGGACTCCCTGCTCCGCGGGAGGCCTGCTTCTCCCTCTCCCCTTCCCCCTGCTTGTGTTCCCTCTCTCGCTGTCTCTCTCTCTGTGTCAAATAAATAAATAAAATCTTTAAAAAAAAAAGTATCTTGGGACGCCTGGGTGGCTCAGTCGGCTGAGGTCATGATCCCAGGGTCCTGGGATGAGTCCCGCATCGCATCAGTCTCCCTCTCTCTCTGCCTGCCGTTCCCCTCCCTTGTGTTCTCTCTCTGTCAAATAAATACATAAACTCTTTAAAAAATAAAATGTATCTTAATTCCCGTTTCCCAGGAGACACCCCAAACAAGAAGGAAGAGGCACCGCAGGAAGGGCCAGGAGCCAAGGGACCCAGAAAGCCTCCCGGGAAGGAGCCGTCTAAAGAGCTGGTTAAACACAGCCCTGACTGGACCATCGGACAATTTTCGGCCAGAGCGCAGCGGCCCACGAGTGCTGCCTGCAGCCAGAGCACAGGCGTGCAGCCATCGGGCCCGGCGCCCGGCCTGGGCACACAGGACAGCCAGCGGCGACACGTGTGTGCGGACTGTGGCCGCCGCTTCACCTACCCCTCACTGCTGGTCAGCCACCGGCGGATGCACTCGGGGGAGCGGCCCTTCCCCTGCCCGGAGTGTGGCATGCGCTTCAAGAGGAAGTTTGCCGTGGAGGCGCACCAGTGGATCCACCGCTCCTGCTCGGGGGGGCGGCGGGGCCGGAGGCCTGGGATCCGGGCTGTGCCTCGGGCTCCGGTGAGGGGTGACCGGGACCCTCCCGTGCTGTTCCGACACTACCCGGACATCTTTGAGGAGTGCGGGTGAGCTGCCCCCACAGCCTGGGGTTGAGCCTGCCCCTGGACTGCCTGAGCCCTGAGGGAGGCTCTGGAGGCAGGGATTTGGGAACCGAAATTCATCCCTTGGGCTTCCCTCAAGGATCCCTCAAGTTTCAAAACTTGTAAAAAGAAAAGTGCCTGTAAAGATGCAAATAGATTATACTTGACACCAGTCCCCCCAGTCTTTCTAAAAAAAAAAAAAAGAAGAAGAAGAAGAGAGTGAGATGCTGGACTTTTCTCAAAGTGTTAATCTCAGCAGCAGGTGCAACCAAGATCTTACCATTGTCTCGGAAACCTTCCCTTGCTGCTTCTGTACATCAGAGGCAAATGCTGAGGGGACTAAGGCCTGGGGAGGGCTCCCCCCGCGCCGGGACCCGGCTAGCTGACAGGAGCAGGGAGCCTGGGAAGTGAAGTGGGTGGAAAGAGTACAGAAGCACAGATCTAGTCTCTGCAACTTGTCCCCAGGCACAGCTTGCAAGTCACATGCCGTCCCTGAGCCTCAGCTCCCTCATCTGTAAAATAAAGATTAAAAATATCTACCTCAACGGGTTACTGTGAAGGCTGAAATTTTAACAAGATAGTATGTAGGACAGAGTCAGTGTGCAATAAACATTTGTTGAAAGAGTGAATTATCGTTGACATTTTATGCTTCCGAAAATGTAAAGAAGCCTGCTAAAGAGGCAGGGCATGGACATCAATAGCCGTATTTTGCAGATGAGTAAACTGAGGCTCTGAGAGAGAAAGTGATTTTCTCAAAGTGTCACTGCCATAAGGCAGCAAAGCTGGAAACTGACACAGTGCCTAGATACCTACCACTTTCTATGGGCAGTCACTTCTGGGCAGAAAACAGAGCAGGGGCTCAGGTGAGGGTGAGGTGAAAACTGGAGTCTGGCCAGGGGCCCAGCCCTGCCTTCCTGGGGGAGTCTCAGCAGGAAATGGAGAGTCCTGCCAAGGCCAGTGACCTTTCACTTAGAAAGTGCCGGCAACATTCAGTGGCCATGGATTGAGTGGCTTCTGTGGGAGCAACTACTAGGTGGTAAGGGAGTTCCGGGATGAGGCAGGCTGATCCCATTCATTCATTCATTCATTCACTCAGCTCCGGGACCCAGGGCATGCTCAGTTTTGTGCTGGGCTCCAGGGACCCTCAGACTCATTCATTCATTCATTCGTTCATTCATTCATTCAGTAAACACCATATGAGGCCTCTGTGGGGTTTTGTGCTGGGCTCCAGGGACACTCAAACTCAGGTCCCATGTTCCATGGTGATTGGGGCTATGCTGGAAGAAGTCCAGAGGCACCACCTAACCCTCCTGGCTGGTGATCCACCAGGAAATGCAGCTTGGAGAAGGAGATGGTTATGCTTCCCATAACATGAGTAGGAATTCTTTTTTTTTTTTTTTTAAGATTTTATTTATTTATTTGACAGAGAGATAGAGAGAGCACAGATAGAGTGGCAGGCAGAGGGAGAGGGAGAAGCAGGCTCCCCGCCGAGCAGTGAGCCCGATGCGGGGCTCCATCCCAGGGCCCAGGGATCATGACCTGAGCCGAAGGCAGACACTCAACCGACTGAGCCACCCAGGCGCCCCACATGAGTAGGAATTCTAATAGAAATAATAGGAATAGTAGAGTAGGAATTGGTGTGAGGGGAGATTTTCAGGCAAAGGGAGCCTTGTTTCATAGAAAGGATGAAAAATGGGCACAGTGTGGAGTTGGTGCTTGCCCCGCCTCTCTGTGCCTTAGTTTCTTAATCTGTGAAACCTGCATAATAATAGCACCTGCCTCCTAAGAGTGATGTAAGGATTAAATGAGAGAATACCGAAGAAGGCCTTGCACGTTAGTGTTTAATAAACACTGGTTACTGTTATTCTAAAAGAATATAAAAGAGTATATGAGGAGGACAAAGAGGAGACATGGGCAGATCTCCTGAATCAAGGAAGGTTTCCTGGAGGAGGAGGTTCAAACTGGCCTTGAAGGATGGGAAAGATTTCAACCAGGTTAGGCATGTATAGGGAATGGTCAGCAGTGCCACCTGAGTGAAACATAAAGAACTAGGTAAAGGGTCATAGAAGACACATGCAGCAATCTGGGAAGGCCAAAGATCCCTGAAGGAGGGCTTGAGGTTTACCCAGTAGACACTGAGGAGCCATAGACAGGTCTTGAACAGGAGCAGGGCTATTTGACCAGTTCTGTCCAAAGATGTGACTTGTGCAGGAGACTAGACTAGAGATCTGTTGGGCATCTGCTCCCAGGTAGAGGTGAGCAGGAGCTGGGACCAGGCTAAAAAGCAACACTTTTTCTTGCAGTTGCCCTTGTTTGCTGACCTCGGGTTTGGGGAGAAAGATATTGAGGACAGGCTTCTGCCACAGAATCTGCATGGCTCAGTGACTGACAATAGGAGCTGTGAACAAGTACGTCCCAGGGGGTTCAAGCATGGAGAGCTGGAGTAAGGGAGCCTGAGGGCCTGGCGAGGGGCAATCAGTCAGGAGTGGGACAGTGTGGAGGACAAGCGATGACCAGTACTGGAGAGGGGTGAGGCGAAGAGAAGGTAGAACTGGAGAGGAGAGGCACCATGAGGGAGGGGGGAGCAGAACCCGGCATAGTGTACCAGGCAGAGTTGCCCAGGTCAGCATACGGCACAGAGTGAGTGCTGTCTGCTTTCTTTCGCGTTTATCCATTTAACAAATACCTACTAAGCATCTGCCATGTACCAGGCACTACTCTGTGTGCCAAGACAGAGCATGGAAAACAGACATAGGAACTGTTTTGGAGCTTACGTTTGAGAAGGGTGGGGTAAAGCAAGGGATAAGCCAGCACATAAGTAAGACAGACAAGTGGGGCACCTGGGTGGCTCAGTCAGTTAAGCATCTGCCTTTGGCCCGGGTCATGATCCCGGGGTCCTGGGATCGAGCCCCACGTAGGGCTCCCTGATCAGCGGGGAGCCTACTTCTCCCTCTCCCCCTGCTCGCGCTCTTTCTCTCTCACTCTCTCTTAAATAAACAAACAAATAAATAAAAATAGATAAAATCTTTCCCCCCAAAAAAGTAAAACAAACAAGTGATAAGCTAGCACAAGTCAGACAGGTTATTATAATTGTAAATAATAAGTACCACAGAGGTACTAAAACAGAGGATGTCCTCAAAGTGCCCGTTGCAGACAGGTACTTAGGCCAGGTCTTGGTGTGGAGCGGAGGAGACATCTGAACTGAGATCCAAATGATGAGAAGGAGCCAAGGCAAAACAGGGGTCAGGTGGCAGGATGTGGGAGTGGGGGAGTGCAGGATTTCAGAGGCTGGGAGTTGGGGGGGGCAGTGATTCCAGACAGAGGCAATAGCAGGTGCCATGCTCTGAGGTAGGGGTAAGTTTGGGTGAGGTGCAGAAAGGACCCAGGTGGCTGGACTGAGGAACTGAGTGGAGCAGAATCACAGATGAGCTTGGAGGAGGGGGAAGGGACCAGATCAGAGAACTCTGGCTTGCCACGATGTCAAGTCTGGGTTTGATTCTAAACATACTGGAAAGCCACTGGGTCGTGTTTGTTGTTGCCTTGCGGTAAAATATACGTAACAAAATTTACCATTTTAAGTATTTTTTTTTAAGTATACAGTTTAGTGGCATAAAGTACAATCATGTCGTGTGCATCCATCAGCCCTCTCTAGAACTTTTCCCTCTTCCGCAGCTGAAACCCTGTACCCATTAAACACTAAGTCCCCACTCCTCCTTTCTCCAGTCCTTGGCAACCACCATTCTATTTTCTCTCTCTATGAGTCTGACTATTCTAGGGACCTCATATAAACCCCCGGGAGGTTTCAAGCAGAGTGGCAAGGTGATGTGACTGGCAAACCCACTCTGGTTGCTCTGAGAATGGACTGCAGCGGGCAAGCAGAGGGCAGATGGAGTACAGAAGGCCGGACGTAAACACTGGGAGCTGAAGGGACAGGACCTGTCTGTGGGCTGGATATGGGGCTGAGAGCCTCAGAGGAGCCAGGAATGATGATAAGATTTTTGGCTGAGTGAGGAGGAGGAGGGAGGGGCCAGTTCCTGGGGTGGCCCAGGGTTGGGAGGCGGTGACAGGGTGGGACCGCAGCATTTTAGACCTGGAAGGGAGCTTTTGGGAGCTGCCTGGCTCAAAGGTTTAAGCAGGGTTTAGGAAGCTGTGGGTGGAATAGGTTTCTTTGCTGAGGAGATTCTCCAGGGAACATGGGGAAGAATGTTTGGTTCTTTCCACAAGCTTTCACGTAAATACTGTTGCACAGAATACGCTCTGAGAAAGGCTGAGGCCCAGAGAGGGGAAGGCCCTTACTTAAGATCACACAGTTGAAGTAGTCAGAGGCAGGCCTGGAATCCAAATCTCCGGATTTCTCAGTGGATGTTCTTGCTCTTTTCACTACACCAGGCTGCGGTGTCGATGGATGGGAAAGGCAAAAGGCTGGAGGCCCAGAGATCAGCCAGGCTACCCAGGCCTAAATCAGCAAGAGCCTGGGCAAGAGGAGCCCACTGGTGAGAGCTAAAACAGGGTACCTTTTGTGAAGCCCGTCCTCACCCTTCCCCCAGGGCAATTTCACATACCTTCTAAACACCTGAATGACATTTTTTTTTTTTTTGCCATGACATGACCCTTAAACACAACCCTTTTACTTACTTTCAGTACTTACCATAGCCCATCATTTAAGGTTTTTTTCTCTTTACATTTACATGACAGCATGGAATCGTATAGGTGACGAGAAGCAGCTCTTCTGACCTTCCAGGTTGCCGCTCCACGCCATGCCGCACATTTCAACTGCAGCTTGGTAGCCTGGCTTAAAATCCTACCTCGCTCTGTGGTTGCTGAGATTGGACCTTCCAATTATTCAAAGCATTACAGCGTGGGTTCTGGAGTTAAGACTGCCTGGGTTTGAATCCTGGCTTCACCACTTACTAGCTGCGTGGTCTGGGGCAAGGTCACCGCTCTGTGCCTCAGTTTCCTGATCCAGAAGGGTACTTATCTCTGAGGGATTGTGAGAGTTCAATGAGTTAACAGGCAGAAGCACTTAGAACAGTCTGGTGTATACTAAGTGATCAAGTAAGGTAAACTAATATGATTAATGTCTTAGATCTATCACAGAACCAACTGCATCCCTTGCATAGTCGGCCATTGTTCTCTTAGAGGAGCTTTGACTTGGGAAGTCTGGGGGCACCTTCAAACCGAGTGTTAAAACAAATAGGTCAGGGGCGCCTGGGTGGCTCAGATGGTTAAGCGTCTGCCTTCGGCTCAGGTCATGATCTCAGGGTCCTGGGATCGAGTCCCACATCGGGCTCCCTGCTCCTTGGGAGCCTGCTTCTCGCTCTGCCTCTCTCTCTCTCTCATGAATAAATAAATAAAATCTTAAAAAAAAAAAAACAAATAAGTCAGGTGATTCAGTAACTCATCTACTTTTTATACAATCATCACTTAAATGGAGAATGGAGTTCATTTTCACAAGGTCAGCAGGGGTCAGTACATTCAAAGTCTTCAGTTGCTTTCCTCGAACAGGCCTGGAGGAGGCAGCGCGAGATGGTGAAAAAGGCTGAATTTAGGGGTCTGAAGACGCTCTGTCAACTAATGGGCTGCCTGACCTTGGTAACGACCAGGCTTCAGTTTCCTCTTCTGTCAAAGAGCTGAACTCTAAGGCATTCAGAGGCATTCGGTCTCGTGTCCTCGGTTAAAGAGCTAGCAAATGTATGGAAATAGCAGATAGGCAGACAGGCTGTATCTGGAGTATTATGTTCTAGAAACTCATAATAGAAGAAAAGGGTGGGGGAGGAGACGTCACAGAATATTATTCTGTACCTTGTAAACGTAAAAAAGTTGAGAAATGAACTAGCTTGCCAAAAAGGAATTTTCTTTTAAGACCAGGCCACTGAGTGGGCGTTCTGAAGGGGACTGGGAGGGAGTCGCCAGGCCGAGAGCCCCGAGTCCCGGCCCCTTTCCCCCTCTCTCGGACCCCAAGCAGCCGGCTGCGCTCACGCACCCGAGCCCCCTCCCTTTCCCCCCGCGGGACCTGAGCACGGACGCCGAAGCGGCCGCGGCCATCTTAACTGTGGGCAAGAGGCGCTTCCCAAGGCGGCTTGCGGAACAGCAGAGGACAGACAGCTCGAGAGAGGAACAAACCAGGTCATCAGTACCAGACCCGTAGTGACGCTGTTAAATGCTTCTCTAAAACTGAAAAACACTGGAATGCCACCATCTTTTCTGAGGGCGCCTTCATTTTCTTGGTCGTGGAACCACCGAGTTCGCGTAACCGGCCGTTTCTAGCTGTCCTACAGCGGGGCTACCGGCCGAGGCTACCGGCCGGCCGCCTAGGCCCGGAAGAATCTAGCTCCCTGGAGGCCGAGTGCTGGGCGTCCCCTCCCCGGTGCAGGGGTGCTGGTGGGGAGGGGCGTTTGGGTCCCTGGCCCAGGCCCGCCGAGGCCCATATGCCTAGACCTGACGCGGGAGACCGATAGCCAACCCGGATCTCTGAAAAGGGAAGGGGGCGGGTGGGATGCGCAGGTCTGAGTGCCCCAGACTCGCCCCCACTCCTGCCCTCAGATGACTTCGTTTCCCGTGACCCCCGCCAGATCGGCCCAACTGAAATTTACAGCGGAGCCTCTTTGGCCAGGCTCTTCCCTGGTTCCCCAGGACTTCTGCAACAAGTTCAGAACCTGTGTACCACAGTGTGAAAGCTTGCTAACCTCCAATTCAAACCCAGTCTCTCCCTACAGGCGAATGATCCCACTGGCTCCAGCTACAAGGAATCTTTGGGTTGTTTTTTTTTCTTTTTTAATGATTTTATTTATTTATTTGACAGAGACACAGAGAGAGAGGGAACACAAGCAGGGGGAGTGGGAGAGGGAGAAGCAGGCTCCCCGCTGAGCAGGGAGCCCTGGACACACACCTGGCTTAATGAGTCTAATCTAACATCTTTCAATGCCCTTCTCAAATGCGGTCTCTAAGAAATTCCTCCTGGAGCTCTTCTGCCCCAAGCAGGAAGTCTCAGCTGCAGCTCTTTGTCTAGCTCTCTAACTGCCTGAAGGTCTCTGCACCTCTGCCCCCAGAGCTCAGAGGTGGCTTTCTCCCTTAGTGTAAACTTAGAGCTTAATGTAAACTTAGAGTAGGAACCTTATCTTGGTTCACAATGTCTACCAACACCTAGAACATCTAGAACAATGCCTGCCACACAAACAATGCCCAATATGTTTTCTTCAAATGAATGAACGAAGAATTGTTTATTGAGTGATTAGCGTTCTTCTCCAAGATTCCAGAGCCCAAACCAGCTCTCATCTCCTGGGTAGAAAAGATGGCCCAGCTGTGGAGGGCAGATGCTCAGGATCCCCAGGTGGATGCCTGAGAGAAAGAAAGATGAGAAGTGGGGGTAATGTTTTGTTGGTCCAGCTGGAAGGGAAAATGTTTTGTTGAACAAGAAACACCATCTAGGGACGCCTGGGTGGCCTGTCAGTCAGTTAAGCATCTGCCTTCGGCTCCGGTCATGATCCCAGCGTCCTGGGATCGAGTCCCGCATCGGGCTACTTGCTCAGCGGGGAGTCTGCCTCTCCTTCTCCACCTGCCTCTCCCCCCACCCCGCTCATGCTCTCTCTCTCTCTCTCAAATAAATAAATAAAATCTTTAAAAAAAGAAAGAAAGAAACACCATCTACATGTTCCTTACTAACTTTTTGCTGGCCTGAATTTATGATACCGACTGGAGACTAGAATCTTGACCTTCTCTTTTTCACTTAATTGAGGCATCCATGGGTCCCAAGATCAGGTCACACTGTACAAATCATCCAAACTCTAGATCAGTGGGAATGTGTGAGTTCAAGTTTAGGATGGAAGCAGTTCACCTTTCTGTCTCTAGGTGCCCGTGCCTTGTAAGAGCCGTTTCTCTGGTTGAGGGTGTCTCTTTGGGTTGGTCCTGAAGTGGGAATGTCCCTGACTTGCTGTGACCCCCTCAATTGGTCAACACAGTCTAGGTGGATGCTTCCAGGGGCTAGGCACCCATCTGAGGTTGTGAAAGTTGATTCTGTCACCTAAACATTGAGTAGAGTTTGACTAAACAGGGCAAAAATTAAGTTCTGAATCTGCTTTGTTTCAAAACAGGCACTCAGAAAAATGATACATTTGGAAGAAGCCAGCAGAAGGAGTCTACCGGGGAGTTGTCGTGAGCCCTTGGGATCAGAGACACTAGCTTGGTCTCTGCGCCTGTGGTCAAAGCACCCCAGGTAGACAGACCTTTCCCAAGCCCCAACTCTACACCCAGCCTCCGTGCCTGGAACTCACACAGCACCCTGCCCCGAGTACAGGCATGCTCTGCCATGACGTTTCACCTGACTCAGTGCATTCTAGAGAGGGGCCCTTTGCCTGCACGTAGTGTGGCACTTGTTTCTGCCACAGCTGTACCTCTCGTGCTACCTGCTGACTCTCACAGGCAAGCTGTCCTATCCCTGTCCCCAGTGTGGAAGTTGCTTCAGCCAGGGGCCCACCAGTAGACCCCAGTGCCAGCCTGGTGCCGTGGACCTCAAGCGCTGACACACAGGTGTGAGCTCTGCCCGGGGCTCTTCCTCAGGAGTGTCCAGACCCCTCTGTGAGTTTCCAGCACTACCCAGAGCTCTTCCAGGCCTATGTGTGAGAGGCATCACTGTGAGGGGTGGGCACTGACAGATGATAAAACGCCATTACTCTGACTGAAAAAAAATTTGTTTTCTTGTGTCCTTCAGGGGCCGGAGGCTAGGAGTAGCTAGGGCTCAGTTAAGTCCCTGGGCAAATCTGCATCCTTACCTTTTTCCAGGCTTTTCATCTTTTCCTTTCCCCTTTCTGCTTTGATCACCTCTACTTGCCCAGCTCCTCTGGTGTGGGGGAGAAGCATCCACCAGATACAAGGTGTTAGGCAGAAGCCTCAGGAAGACCTCTGGAAGGAGGCAAGCAGAGAGAAGCTCCAGACTAGCCCCCAGACCTGGTGAAGGGAGGTGTGAAATGCAGTGATTTAGCCGGCCAAAGGAAAATTATCAAGTCTTTTTAGGGTAGGGTATTTATGAAGGCATGTGGGGACGCAGAGTAAGCCGTCAATACATGTGTGGAGTGAGAGAAGGAGGTTGGAGGTAGAAATGGTAGGGAGAGTGGGTGCCATTCGCTTCTAAAGACCCCAGGAGGAGCAGGCTGCGGGAAGAAAGGGATGACGAGTTCAGTGGGAGCCATGCCTAGTGCGAAGTTCTAGTGGGGATTCGTGCAGGGGCAAGGGGGCAGGTGGCTCTGTGATCAGGAGCTTAGGAGCCAGGCTTGAGCTAGAGGTAAACAGATGTTCGAGAGGCCTCCTGCAGGGCATGTGCGGAGAAAGTAAGAAAGTAAGGTTGCAGAAAGTGGGTCCTTCCGACTTTTACAGACCTTACCCTATTCCCCCCTCCCAGCCGCCCCCACGATCTCCAGAAATAGAAGCTCCCAGAACTGCAGGCTCGAAGAAGCTCCCAGTAGAGAAGGTTCTCTTTGACCCACTACATTTTTCTCCTCTCAACCCTGGGGAAAGTGCGCTGTCACCCAGTGACGGGCCGAAACCCAGGAACCCACTTACGAACGGCCCGGCGACGAAGAGCAGCGTGGAGCCCGCACCCTCCGCCGCGCCCGTCCCGCCTCCAAGCCCGGGCGGGGCTGCGGCTGCGGCTGCGGCTGCGCCTCCCAGCGCGGCGGGCGCGGGCACCTCGCGGGGCAGGGGAGGCCCGCCGCCCCCTCCCGCCCTTGTAGCCGTCGCGGCCATTTTGGCTGAGGGCTCGGGGACAAAGCCACCTGGAGACCCCGGGGGAGGCGTCATCGGGGCACCGTGGCGTAGGAGCAACGTTCGCGCGGCGCGTTGCCGCCATTTCTGTCCGATGCTCTGGGTCCCTTGCGCTCGCGGCTCTTGGTGCTTGGCCTCCCTGCTGGGCGCTCGAGGGGCGGCCTGCTGCGCTCGCGGCCTTCCGGAGCGCGGACCCCGGCCCGGCCCTTGCCATGGCGCCGCCCCCGGCCCCGCTGCCCGCGTGGGAACCGGACGGCGCCGGGCGCGAGCGGAGGGGGCCGGGCGCCGTGAGCTTCGCGGACGTGGCCGTGTACTTCTCCCCCGAGGAGTGGGGCTGTCTGCGGCCCGCGCAGAGGGCCCTGTACCGGGACGTGATGCGGGAGACCTACGGCCACCTGGGCGCGCTCGGTGAGGCCCCGCCGCCTCGCCCGGGCCACCTCCCCGCCCGCCCCGCCCAGCCTCCCGGGCCGGCCCCGGCAGTGGGAGCCCCGAGGTCCGGGAAGCCGGGACGGCGGGGGGCGGCCTCCCGGCAGCGCGGGGTTTGCGTTCTCCTCCCCCAGGGTTCCGAGGCGCCAAGCCAGCTCTCATCTCCTGGGTGGAGGAAGAGGCCGACCTGTGGGGCCCGGCTGCCCGGGATCCGGAGGTGGGAGAGTGTCTGACAGAAGCAGACGCAGGTGAAGTATTGGGTACTGCGTCTCCCGGGACCGCCTCTGGGCCTGGGCCACCCGGCTGCCCCTCTGCCAGCACCTTCCCTGCTCCTCATTGCCTTCCCCGGGTTGCCTGCCCCGCTGGGGTGACCCTGCCGGCCCGTGCCTCGCTGCGGGCTTCAGCCCAGAAAGCGGCTGCGAGGGTGGCCCGGGCTCTGCTGGGGTGCGGGGCCTTGCGGATCTGTGCCCCTCACATCCTGTTGGTCTCAGAGCTCTCGAGCTTCACATCGTCCCTCCTGCCGCTTTCCTACACTCTAGCTTCGCGGCCGCCTCTTGTGTTTTAGCTTCCTGTCTTTTGGTTACGTGTTTGGGGCCGTCTCCTTTCTCGTGTGGGTTCCACTGTTTGTTTCCTTCCTCCAGTTGATCCTTGCACCGCACCCCCTTCCCGTGAGCTTGGCAGTGCCGGCCACGGTCCTGCCTCCCTTGCACGAACATGTCCCTGCTGCCTGGAGTGTCCTGCGACATCCTCTCCTCCTCCAGGATCCAGCAAGAATGTCCCCTCCGCCCCCATTTCCCCAGCTCTGAGGTAGAACGGAGGGTGTTCCGTTCCTTCCTTCCTTCTTTGTCTTGGTGTCTTTTCTGTCCTCTGCAGTTCAGGAGAATGTGTCCCTCCGAGCTTCCCTGCCTGTACCGAGCGGAGTCCCAGAGGCAGCAGTGGGTCCAGAGGTGGCTGTATCTGAAAGGCGTCTCTGTCACCATTTGGGGTTTGGCCATAAGAACCAGGGTGAGCCAGGGTCTAAGCTCTCCCCTTACCTCCCAGCAGATTCCAGAAACAAGGAAGAGAAAAGACAAAGAGGAGGGACTGAGGCCCCGGAGAAGAGCCCTGCTGTGCAAGCTCGGCCTCCTGGGCCGAAGGCTCCAACCCACCCTTCTGCTGGCTTCCCTGACAGCTCGGGGCAGCCGGCCAAGGCACCCCGCCGGGGTCGCCCCCCGCTCTGTGCGCATCCCCCTGTCCCAAGAGCCGACCAGCGTCATGGTTGCTACGTGTGCGGGAAGAGTTTTGCCTGGCGTTCCACGCTGGCGGAGCATCTGTACACGCACACGGGGGAGAAGCCCTTCCGTTGCCCCGACTGCGGCAAGGGCTTCAGCCAGGCCTCCTCTCTGAGCAAGCACCGGGCCATCCACCGAGGGGAGCGGCCCCACCGCTGCCTGGACTGCGGCCGGGCCTTCACGCAGCGCTCGGCCCTCACCACTCACCTGCGGGTGCACACGGGCGAGAAGCCCTATGGCTGTGCTGACTGCGGCCGCTGCTTTAGCCAGAGCTCTGCCCTCTACCAGCACCAGCGGGTCCACAGTGGCGAGACTCCCTTCCCCTGCCCGGACTGTGGCCGCGCCTTTGCCCATGCCTCGGACCTTCGGCGCCACATACGCACCCACACGGGCGAGAAGCCCTACCCGTGCCCAGAGTGTGGGCGCTGTTTCCGACAGAGCTCCGAAATGGCAGCCCATCGGCGTACCCACAGCGGCGAACGCCCCTACCCCTGCCCTCAGTGTGGCAGGTGCTTTGGCCAGAAGTCAGCCATGGCCAAGCACCAGTGGGTCCACAGGCCTGGTGCCGGGGGGCACAGGGGCCGGGGGGCCAGTGCATTGCCTGTACCTCTGGCCCCTGGCCAAGGGGACCGGGACCCTCCTGTGGGCTTCCAGCACTACCCAGAAATATTCCAGGAGTGTGGGTGATGGTCCTAAAGATGTCAAGGCCGGGGGTGAAGATCTAGACGTTGCCTGAGGCCCAGGTTGGGCTCAGGGGCCTGAACCTCTGTGGCAGCTCCAGGGAGGTCACACAATTCCAGGCAAGAGGTGGACCTGGGGGATGAGGACCCTCTTGTCTTAGGCCTTCACGAGCTTGATCTGCTGACACCTTGCTCCCTACTGTCCCAGACTCTAGAAGCCCCCTCTGCTCCGTTAGGGCTGAGGTAAGCACCTGCACGAGACCTCCGCTGTGGGGAAGAAAAGGCTGTTTCTCCACTTAGACACGTTAAGAGGATTGAGGTAGAAGGGAAGTTCGCTGTATCGGTTGTCTTTACTGCAGGCGTTAAAAACTGACGGCCTTGTACTGAATCTGGCTCGTGGCAACCTTTTACAAATTATTTTGGGTCCAACCAGCATTTAAAAATGTTACAAATCATGGTTAAGACTTAAAAGGATATTTCACACAAAAATTCAGGTTTCTGGCCTCTTGAAAAATTCAGGGATTTGGCAACTCGACCCGAGCTCCCACAAAGGAAAGGGTGGCAGGAAGCGCAGGGCAGCTGTTCCGCCTGCCCACCAGCCCTTCCCGGCTTGCCACCAGCGTTAGCTGGCCCTCGTCCTTGCTTGTCCGTGTCCCCAGTGCAGCAGGCCCTCTCCATCGGGCATTTTCCCCTTGTTTACGTGACCCGTTGGGCTCCTGTAGTCATTTGAGTTTGCAGACTGGTGGATAGCATTCATGTTCTATTTTATTTTTTATTTATTTTTATTTTTTTAAAGATTTCATTTATTTATTTGACAGAGAGAGCGAGAGAGCAGAAGCAGGGGGAACAGTAGAGGGAGAGGGAGAAGCAGGGAGCCCAATGTGGGGCTCAATCCTAGGACCCTGGGATCATGACCTGAGCCGAAGGCAGACGCTTAACCTTCTGAGCCACCCAGGCGTCCCACATTCATGTTGTCCTGACCCAGGGATTCAGGTTGACAGCACCCGTGTGAAAGGGCAGGAGAAGAGAAGGAAACGCAGGCTTTATTTCAGATGTCTGCTTGTATCACGTTCTCTGGTTTACAAAGTACTGTCTTGTCCATCAGCTTGGACCTTGTCCATGTAGCTTGGAAAGGACAGCCCAGTCAGGAAGAGGCTGTCAGGACTCTGTATTTTGCCCCAAACCGAGAGGTATCTCTGCCACGCCACGATAGGCCTCTTGGCTAACCGGCAGTTCCTGGTTTTGAAGAGGAAGGCTCTGAGTGTGCCCTCCAGTCCTCCTTGAGCCTCCCTGGGAGAGCCCTACTGCTTGGGCCTTAGCCACCAGCCAGCCAGCCAGGAGGGCCTCATCACATTTTTGACCTGGAAGAGATCTTAGCTTTTCTATCTTTTTGCATTTGGGGACTCAGACTGGGGAAGGCCAAACGACCCATCCAAGGTCACAGACAGAGTGAGTGAGCCTCCAGGGTTCTTGGTGGACTGCTGTCTTTACCACACCACGCCTGAGTTCCTTGCCCGTGTCTCAGCCAGGGTTCTGGAGCAATCTGCTCCCTCCCTCCGACAGCTCCCAAGCAATGACCTGGACTAGGGACAGAGCAACCCAGTGTCAGTGAGGCCCACTTACAAGATGATAGGACAGCCACACAGCAAAGCAAGGCAAGGGAGAAACCAGCCTGAGATGCGAGTTCCAGGGCAAACAGAAGCAAAGCTTGCCTCTTCTCAAGTACCTCTCATCATGAACAAAGAGGGACAAGGCCAAGAACATTTGGGGTTAGTAGCCAAGGGAACTGCTCATCTGTATTCCCAAGCCGTGTCACTTGTGACTCCATTATCCATCAGCCACCCAGTTCCCCTGTGGTCAGAGTCCAGCCTTGTCCCAGTGACGCCGCCACCAGCCACGGGCCGACCCATTCCTGCCTCCTTCACCTTCACTTCAAGGAGTAATAGCAGGGGCTTATGTCTTCTGCGGGTCTGTGCGCACCCGCCTTCTTCACCCAAATCTGCCCCATGTCCTGTCTGGCCTACCTTAGGAAGAAACCAGATTTGTCAACCTAGAGAAACTTCTAAAGGAAGAGGTAGAAAATCTGGGGGGAAAGACACTGTTCAGGTGAAATAATCAACTGAATTGATAGCAATTTAATCTTCAGATCTGACCCCATCAGGACCTGGCTTACCCTAAACTTTACTGGGAGGGTTGGCTCAGGTGCCATCTTGTCACAAAGGGGACGTGCAGTGAAAAGAGGCACCTTGACAGCAGGACCTACCTTTGTACCAGCTTTTAATTCCCTAAAGAGAAGCAGTGTACAACCCTTCCCTTGCCTCACCCTCAGCACTGCCCGGGGAAAGTCCGGCCTGCAATACCAGTTGTCAGCTCAGATTCAAAGTCAGATCTGGATCCTGTCCTCAGCTTGCCAATTAAAGGTACCATAATTACTACTTTCTCCGAGTGCTTTGAAGTTTGCAAGGCTTGCTTAGGGCCCCAAAACCAGACCCAGCTCCTCTGCTTCCTGCCCTCACGACCCAACTTTCTGCCATTTAATCGATTTTTGAATGTCACGAAATGCTTAAGCCTTAGCCTCACTCCGTTCTCAGCTCCTCATTTCTTGGCATGGATACTGCCACCAGAGATGGGGCTCCCTTTTCTCTCTCTGCTACCATAGGTCTTTAAGGCTTAGACCCCAAAGCACTTTAAGCCAGGAAGAGGGTTTTCCTAGGGCTTTCTTGGTGCATCAGGAGAAATGCTTGTCTGAGCCAGACAAAATGAGCCCCATCCAAATGGCCAGAGTGAAAGGTCAAAGTCATGACCACATGGCCCATTCCTAACTTGTCCAAGCCATGTAAAATAAGGACAAGTGCCGACTTGAGCTTTTAAAGACCCCTAAACATTTTTTAGAAGATTTTTAAAATTTATTTATTTGAGAGAGAGAGAGCACAAGGAGGGTGTGTGGCAGGGGAGTAAGGAGAAGCAGGCTCCCCACTGAGCAGGAAGCCCCACAGGGAATGTGGACTCCATCCTAGGACCCTGAGATCAGGACCTGAGCCGAAAGCAGATGACTTATTTTTGAAGATTTTACTTATTTATTTGACAGAGACACAGCGAGAGAGGGAACACAAGCAGGGGGAGTGGGAGAGGGAGAAGCAGGCTTCCCGCTGAGCAGGGAGCCCTATGTGGGGCTCGATCCCAGGACCCCGGGATCATGACCTGAGCTGAAGGCAGACACCTAACCGACCGAGCCACCCAGGCACCCCCCAAAGGCAGATGCTTAACCGACTGAACCACCCAGGCGCCCCAAGACCCCTAAACATTTTTGAATGTTTGTTTATGTGTGTGTCTCTAGGAATGGGATGTGCAAAGATGTTTATGACCCAAAGAAGCAAAAACCTGCTGTAGGCTACTATTTTTCTTTCTTTTTCCCCCCCTTTTTAAAAGATTTTATTTATTAGAGAGAAAGCGAGCACAAGCAGCGTGGGGAGGGGCAGAGGGAGAAGGAGAAGCAGACTCCCCACTGAGCAGGGAGCCCGATGTGGGGCGCGATCCCAGGACCCCAGGATCATGACCTGAGCTGAAGACAGATGCTTAACCAACTGAGCCACCCAGGCGCCCCTAGGCAAGTATTTTTCAAAGTAAGGTCTTTCTGGGGCACCTGGGTGGCTCAGTCATTAAGCGTCTGCCTTCGGCTCAGGTCATGATCCCAGGGTCCTGGGTTTGAGCCCCACATCAGGCTCCCTGCTCGGCAGGAAGCCTGCTTCTCCCTCTCCCACTCCCCCTGCTTGTGTTCCCTCTCTCACTGTGTCTCTCTCTGTCAAATAAATAAATAAAATCTTTAAAACAAACAAACAAACAAACAGACAAACAAAGTAAGGCCTTTCTGCCACAGAATCCCATTCAGTAACTTTAAAATGTAGCCAGCTCCCTGGGCTTTATCTCTGGACTATTGAATCAGAATCTCCAGGGATGGACTCTCACACCTGGTAATGATGCTCTGAACAAAATGTTACTTTCTAGCTGCTTTTAGTTTTGCAAATGCTTGAGGTCAGAGGATGACAAAGACTCCCATTGTCTTTGTTCTTCCCAAGGGGGCCTGTGCCGTGGCTGAGCTCTTGCGGGTACCTCAAATCTTCTTGAATATACAGGGACGTCTCTCGTAGCATCTGTCCGTTGCATGCAGGGAAAGAGCAGTTCATGCAGGAGTCCCCCTCACACTGAGGGCCTTTGCTCAATGCTGGCCAAGTTGCACACCGAATACCTCTGCCCCAGCGCTGCCACCCACCGGGAACGATCCTATGGACAAAGAGCCGCCCAACTCAGGACACAAACCCAGCTCTTCCTCACCAGGACACAGTGGTAGAATAAGGTCAGTGGACTCTAGCCTTGGATCCGTTGGTGCCGGGTCAAGCTGGAACCCACATCAGAGGATTCCCTGTGCTTAGAGCCTCTCACTGCTATGGGTGAGTGGCAGACAGGCTGGTTGCTTCTCAGGCCCATTGCATGGATAGGCCTGGTGCTGGAGGAGGCTGCCTGGAAGTCAGCTACTCCTTTACTCTAGGTTACTAGAAGACTGAATGTCCATGTGGGTGCTCGATCCCAGGACCCCAGGGATCCTCATGGGTGTCCATGAGGGTGCCAAAGCAGCTTGCAGCCCTGCCCTGACTTCTGCTACATGTGGGGCTTGTGGAGAGTGCTGCAGGCAATGGGACCAGGTCGGAGCTGGGGCTGGACGCCTCGCCACACACTTTGCAGGGAATAGCTGCTCTCCTGTGTACATTTTCTGGTGGGTAAGCAGGTTGGAGGTCAGAGAAAAGTGTCTCATGAAGGAGACTTTTGTTTCTCATTTGTGTGAGTGCTTTGGGAATGACCAGGGGGTGCTCCAGGGCCAGCTCCTTCCATAGTCAGTGCACTGGTAGGGTGTCCTGCCCGTGTGGGCCATCTAGTGCTGGACTGGGTGAGCCATTCTTCACAGAAGGTTTTAGGACAGACCGACAGTGGGGTGGGAGACAGGCATGGAGCTGGGGAAGCTGTTCCTCTGCGGGGGAGAAACGTGCTCCTGCTTTATTTGTAGGGAGATAATTGTGATTCTATTTGTAAGCCTCTGTTGTCTCTAGGCTTTTACTGCTTGCAATTCTCCAGATTCTTGTTCTCATCTCTTTTCAGGAGAATGGAAGATGCCATCTTTCCTCCTAAACCAGTTTCTTCCTTTCATTTGTCTGAGAAGGCAACGAGAAAACACAATCATGGCTCCTGCATCACTCACACAGGGAGGATTTGGCTCATCAATTGTCAAGAACGCTACCAAAATACTTTCAGCAGCAAGGGTAAAAAAGGGGACAAGAATTGTCTTTCCAGAATCACTTTTCCCTTGATTCAAAGCTGCACCAAGGGCAGTGTTTCTTAGGTTCCCTTCTACAAGCTTCTGTCCAAGTCAGACAGGGACCGGAGAGTTCTTAGCTCCCTTAATGGCCAGATGGTTCTCTACTTCTGAACTCCGCCACCCTCACCTGGAAGTAACTCCCATAGGATCCCTGCCTCTCTGTGAGAAAACCCAGGAACCAGGGACTAAGGCTCCCACTTCGGGGAAGGTGGAAGAGATAGGCAGGTAATAGAAGAGAAAGCAGCCTCCTCTCTGCGGGAGGATCGGCCAACTGACCCCTTCAGCACCAGGAATCTGTGGGAGAAAGGAAAGTGCTGGGAAAGGAAGTATGCGGGAGACCGGGGTGGGGTGGGGTGGGGGGGAGTAGGGAAGGTTGTCTGTCTCCAGATCCCTTGGCTTTCTTCAGAGATAAGACATAATGAAAGGTCAGTGGGGGCGGGAAAAGTTCTGAAAGCACCAGCGCGAGGACGGGAAGGGAGACGCCAGGCACCTCCCTCTCGGCCCTCCCGCAGGCAGTTCTGACCGCTGGGGTAGGTGGAACCGGCCTGCCCCCTCCAGCCAATCAGAAAGGTGCCTCGCGTTCCCTGGCGACCATTAGCAGTTGGTGTAGTGGGAGGAGGCGGGACGATGAGAGCACAAGCTCCCCCGGCCAATCGCTGTATTCCTTGGGAGGTAGGGGCGGTGCCTCTGGAAACCGGAGGCGGGGCTGTTTCCTTGGCAACGATGCTAGCCCTCCCCGAGTGGGTAGGGTGGAGATTAGGAGGAGCAGAGAGGGGAGGGGGCCAGGAGGAGTGAGGGTGGGCGCACGGGTGCGGAGGAGTAGAGTTCGGGTTGGGGGGTGGGAGCCCCAGACTCAGGAGCTCAAGGCTGGGGGTGGGGTCCGCCTAGGTTCCCGAGGCGCGGCCGAAGCTGACCCCAAGGCCCGGGAGGGGAGGGGAGCTAGACGCCGCCCCCGCTGGCGCCGGGAAGCGTCGCTCCTTCTCGCTGACCTTGGTCTCGCTTGTCGCCTCGCCCTTGGCCACAGGCACTGACGGACGCAGGGCCCGGGTGACGGATAGATAGGCTCCTGGACGGACGGAGACCTAGGACATAGCACACAAACTACCCCAGCCTTTCCTGCCGGCTCCCGGGCTCCCTGTCATCCCCCACCTCAAAGCCGGGGCCATCCAGCCCAGGGTTAATGCCAACGAGTTTCCACCTCCAGCCGCTCCTAGAGAGGCCGTGGCGCTAGCCAGCGGGGGAAACTGGCCGCGGACGGACACTTCCTGTGCGGGGGGAGGGGGGAGGGGGTCGGACAGCCGCAGCCCAGCCCGGGCTGGGGGGCCAGACGGCGGGGTCGCGGGCGGGGAGCGGCGTCCGGGGGCGGCAGGGCGAGTCGTGAAGACCCTCGCCTCCGAGGCCACGACGCACGGGGGCCTTGGAGGGCCCCAGGGCAAAGCGAGACCTTGTGGGTGGGGGCGGGGCCGCGGGTAGGGGAGGGGCCCGGCCGGCCAGAGAGGCCCGGGGTCAAGACGTCCGGCCTCAGGGGCCCGGTCTGGGCAGCCGGGTCCCCTGGGCGGCGCTGAGCAGGCGGGCGGCGAGGGCCCGGGTCTCAGGGTACTCAGGCCTGGTCGCAGGATCGTCCGCCATCGCCGCCGCCGCCGTACTGGGAGCCGGCGGGGATGGAACGGGAGGCGTCGCCGTGGGGCCTTGAGCCCGGGGATGTGCAAAGTCCTGACGAAGTGGGGAGCCCCGAAGGGTCCCTCAAAGGTGAGGGAGGGAGCGTCTCTCTGAGGAGCGTGCCCGGGAGCGGGAGAGGGGGCTGTGGGCCGTGGGAGGGGAAGAGAGCGGGGGGTTGGGACACCTGGGACTTGGAGG